AGACTCAAATTACTCTGTGCACAAGCTTCATCAGAAACACGAATGATATCCGAGCCATAATCTGGGTTTCTTCCCCAGGAGTGTGAATATATGAGGCAAGTCAGAACAAGCATTGACTTCCCAGTGAAATTTTTGGCATCACCTGTGGTCCTTATTTTCTTGTGTCACACCAAAACTGGATTTTGTCAATTCCTATTTATCCACTAGTTTAGAATAGGCAGAAAAGCCTACAATAGAAAGCCTTCAGCTGTGCACCTGGCCTATAGAAACAAGTGCAGAAGACACAATAAACATTTCCATCTGCTAGAGACTAGAATACAGATTTGTTACACTGTTCCACTCCAAACAGTTTGTGTATTCCCACATGGTTTATTTTGCGGGAAAATAAGTCTCGTACATAGTAACGTGGTATGAAATCACAGTTTCTTACACAATGTTTTTCTTTTCTCTTTCTGTAGTCAAAAAGGCAACTAACTTAAACATGGCAAAGAGAAATTTAATTATAAATAAGCCTGTAATTCTGATGTAGCTATGTCAGTGATACTGGATAGAGGCAGTTATTGCTACTTGCTAGATATTACTGGTTAACTTTGTATTTAAAATAAATTCTATTAGATTAAGCCATCAAGATACAAGTTAGCTGTGTAAACTGTTTTCACTGTGGCAGCCTCCTGTCAAAGCTTTTTCTTTTTCCTGTGAGAAGACCAAATACATTTTCAGAAATGTTACATTCACTGTGTATACATCTACCAGGCTGGGAAGGAGGTGTCATATACACCTATTTTTCCATGCTGGGTACTGCAGTTATAGCACAGTGACAGTCACGTATTATGAAAAAATAAGGGAAAAATGCAGATAATGTTTTGTATAAAAATTTTAAAATATCAATAAAGCTCTTCTTTCATGATTAGAATGTAATATTACTAAATGTCTCATATAACCGTGGTTATAAGCAAAAAATAGCTAAAACCCCAAAAATGAACCCAGCAAATAAGCCTCTCAAAACCTAATAGACTAGACAAATGAGGCTAATTTGGAATTGAGGAGCAATATTCCAGTGACCAAATCTCTAGATTTTGTCATTTCATTATACCTGAAGGTCTTAGAAGTACTTTATAAAACACAATCATGAAGTTCTTGTTGAGCTTGTAATTTAACAGTATCTCTTTTAAAATCAGAACCCCATTCATTTACAAGAAGTAATTCTTTCATCAGCTATGTGTTCTAAATATTGTTGTCCAGCCAGGGAAACAGGTACGATGGAAGTTGTCTGAAGCTGCAGAGTGAGTCCGTGGCAAACCCGGGAACTGAACTGGTCATATCTTCTTACTGCTATGTCTCCTGCCTCTGGGTTTTTTCATCTTTGGACTAGGACAAAAAGTGGGACATTGCATATTATAAGAAAACATGATTACTGCAGCCCATCACCACAAAGTTTTAGGGACAAGAACAATTATTATGAACTCCTGTTTGGAGATCTTCTTTTCTATGGTTTGCAATCTTTAGCACCTGTCCAAGAAACGCCTTCTATAAATAACCATTTTCTGTTTCAGGCAAGATTGGTGCAGCTGCTCAGTTTTTCTACAATTGTGAATTGCCAAAAAAAGGAACAGTAATTCCTTGGGGACCTCAGAGTTAAATCCCTTCTATGTAACGTGATACTATGAAGTGGAGCTGTGATGGAAGTCCATTATTGCTAGCTGCCCTTAGAGTTGCTCAAACTGAGAACTGAGAAGTCCTTTGTAGATGATCCTTGCTCTTCTACAATTTCTGTGGCTTTGTAGTTCCATAATTACTGCCCCTGATGGCACCCTGCCCCAAAAATGAATACTTTGATCATTTGCTGCTCTCTTGTACGCCTTGTCATCTCCGATGTTCCAGTTCGCCACCGCCTTCGTGTGAGAACTACTGTGAGCAGAGTAAGTGTGTTGCTGCAGCATTTTGTGGCTGTGCTGGGCACTCTTGTGTTGTATTTTACACAGAGGTTTTATGTGTTGGACATGTTTACTGTACATTGCTTATTGTTTATGATTAACTTCATGCATCTCTTTTATTTCATAAGGTACCGATTCAAGTGGAATTCTTTGGATTTGTTTGGGCTTAGGAGTAATTTTAATGCTCACTCTGTTCACCGTAATGGTCTTGTTTAAAAGGAAGCGCCTAAAGCAGTTAAAAGAAAAACTGGAAAACACAGGTGAATAAATAAGATTCTTTATAAATAGTTTGAGATTATTGTATATTTTAGCTACTCTTACCAAGTACAAATTTTGCATATCGTTTATATTCCCGATTCTGATGACTGTCTTTGTTGGATTGTTTTGTATTCCTCAAATAGTCTCCATGAAGTTATCAAAGTTATTAGGCAGTAAAATATGCAGATGGTGACTTGCAAAAGCAGGAATCTCTCTTTGTTGGTTCCAGATCCTGCCAGGATTGTATGGCTGTATATTCATATCTGGCTTACTTACTGGTGTTTGAGAAGTCATTTATGAACCCTCAATAGCAAAAATCTTTATAAGAGTTTCACCCTCTTCCCTTTGAATACAAAAGGAATTCTACACAGGTAGAGGATACACATTCAATATTAGCTTTTCATCTTATAATAATTTAAATAATTTTATTTAGTATAAGCCTATGTGGTATATTTTGTGACAGTGAAAAAATTTAATCTATTTTTACATTTTACAAATACTATATTCGTGAGTGTTCAGACAATAAATAATAACTTAATAGAAAATATGTGTTTGATTACTTCAATGCTTGAAATATAGCAGTTATATTTTCATGGAACAAAAGATCATCATATATAACTACACCTTAAAACTTTCACTAAGGTTAGAACATAGTTGGAACATAATGAAATTTGGATCTTTAATAACTGTATGTTTGGTATAGGATGATGTATGTACTATATTAACTTCTGTATATTTACAGACTCCTCTGTGAAGCTGAATAATATTCTCAAGGCTAATACCGACAGCAGTGTGAATACAGAAGAAATTAGACACACACTTCCAAGTGAAACATTAATGTATTCAGTGGAAGAATGCACTTGCAGTGACTGTGGCTTGGTAAAACCTCAGACTGGCTGTGAAACTTCATTTCCATTACCAGCTACCGAAGAACGAGCAACTGTTCTAGTTACCACAAAATCTTTTGACTATTGCAACTATGTTCTGGGTGTTGGATGACTATGAGAGTAGTGTATTTTTACTGTGTAATAATAAATGAGTTATTCCAGTATAGTGATTAATCTTAATACTTGCAGTCAGTGGAGGAGGTAGTACATTGTCCTTATAGATCTTCCATTGAGCTTTCATTAATATTGTCATATTATTTCTGATGCTAGTATTTCTCTAGTCAAGTATCTCTACATTATTCTCGGGTACTAAACTAGTTATTGGAATTTTTAATTTCTGAAAGGCCTTACAAAGGACAGCTTTTTCTGCCCTTAAAGACTGTATCTACTTACACCAGATATATACAAACCCATCAATAAACAAGTGTGCAAATATATGCTTTATGTTAAACTCAGATCTTGTGCCAACAATTACTTGATGGGACACAAGGAATGTTCCAAGAGGCAGAAATGAAGACCCCCAGTACATCCTCAGGGTTGTAAAGAATAATTTCAAATAGCCCCTATGATACTTGAAATAGGAATGTTCTAACGATGGATCCTTGCAGAGCATGGAGTCCTCTGGGTTCAGAAGGTATTGCTGGGTCACACTGAGGGAGGTTGTGGGGCTGTGGAACACCACACCATGGAATCATGGAATATCCTGAGTTGGAAGGGACCCACAAGGGTCATCAAAGTCCAGCTGCTGGACTTCACTGCAATCCCTGCCATCCCCATGTATTTCCTGATGGTACCAGCTTTCCTTTTAGCATCCTTTTCTGATGTATCTCTATTCTACTAATTTTTTTACTTACCTTTATCATATTTACAAAGATTGGCGATCAGCAAGAGTCATGCCAGACTACCGTGTGGCCTAATATTAGGAATATACTTCTGTCCCCTTGCCTTCCAAACATTGATGTTATTTTCCTAATATTAGGCCAGTTTTATTCCTGGAAAACTGCAACAACAGAAAAAACTGTCAACCCAACGATCTTCTTTACTCATGGCTAACTTTATATTTCAGTTTCTTGCACAAATGACAAATTAAAATATTTTAGGACTAGTAAATTATTGCACAAAACCTATGAACAATCCCTGTTAGAGCAGCTTTAGAAGGGTGTCACAAAGCTTGGGCCAGTTGGGATTCAGCTGCATAGGTCTGGGCACACAGAGCCAAAACCTCTGAAATAGGCCTAGATAGAGCGCTATTAAATTTATATTGGAATTTTTAATTCCTGAAAGCCCTTACATAGGACAGCTTTTTCTGCCTCTAGAGATTAGAGACACACTTCGAAGTGAAACATTAAGGTGCCCAGTGGAAGAAGGCGCTTGCAGTGGCCCTGGTTTGGTAAAAAACCTCAGGCTGGGTGTGAAACTCCATTTCCATTATCGGCTACCGAAGGACGAGCGTCTGTTCTGGTTACACCACAAAATCTTTTCTTTTGATTACTGCAGCTACGTTCTGCGTGTTGGACCACATTTCATATTATTTTATGTCCCACAGTTTTTGTACCTTTTTTATTTTTATTTTTCGAAAAATGACCGTTCCCGAGCTTTCACCTCGCACAGCACCCGTGCCAGCGCAGGATAGTTTCTCCCTGCTTCTCTCACCCCTCCTGTGCCCGCTGTCCCTTCCCGCCCCACAGAGCGGCTCAGCCCGGGCGGCTGCCGCGGGCTGTGGGGTCGCGACAGGGATCGGCGAAGGGCTCCGGGCCGGGGGACACCGTGAGGGCCCCCGGGCTCGGCGCGCTTCCCACACCCCGGGCCGTGTTTACCTTCCGGGGCGCGGGCGGGTTCCGGGGCGGGCGGTCGCTGCCGGCCCGGCCGTGGCTGAGCGGGAGAGCGGCGGCCCCGGCGGACGGAGCCCCGCGGGCACCATGAGCGGTGAGTGGGGCGGGCCGGGCCCTCCGCCCCCGGGGGAGGGCACAGCCCGGGGGTCCCCGGCCAGGCGTGGTCCTGCCCCGGTCCCCCGCTCCCCGGTTCTCCCCGTGCTGAGGCACCGAGCGCTTCGGTCTCTCATCACCACACCCCGCTCCTCGTTCCGGCTCCCCCAAGTACCCCCGAAGTGGTGTTTTACCTCGTTTCAAACCCCAAGTGCTGCCCTTGAGCGTGGCTTTACTGGCTCACAGCACAAGTGATGTTGGGCTCGGTGTTGCCTCAACTGTGCAAGATCACGGGAAATATTCCCGAGAAAATACATGACCAAGAAAAACGGAAATAATAAAAATTAACAGAATGAACTCAGTATCAAGCAGTCGGTGGGAGAGGTGAGAAGCATGACCATGACCAGTGGAGAAAGTGGTGCCTTCTGGTGTTCGGGGTGTGCTGTTTGTGTCTCCAGCTCAGTCCCGGCGAGGATGTGCCAGGTCTGGATGTGGGAATTTCTGCCCTTCGTGTTCGGGGGAAGCGTGCGGGGGGTGTGCTAAATCCCAAGGGGTCTGAGGTGTTTGTCGGAGGAAATTCTTAGAAGCTTTGCCTGAGAATTGTGACCTATAAACTACAGGACTGGAGGATGTAGAACCACTTGAATGGGTCAGCATAAAGAGTTGTGAGGGAGAATGAAATTTTGATAGATTTCTCTTGTAAATGTAAAGGATAAGTGGTAGTTACTGAATATGTATTAAAGCACACTGGCAAGGGTTTGTTTGGGGCTTCTTAAGAAGGGAGGTGCTTTAGTAAATACTTGGATGGGTCTCCTTGTACAACTTCAGTAATGGAAGTTGCAGTCAACAGTCTGCACCTGAAAATGAGATTGCTTGTTTATCCCCCACCCTGAGTTAATATGTGGTCAGATTTGTTGCCTGTAAGGATGTAAGAAAATACTGTAGAGTTAACTGGAGTAACTAAATGCCACATTGCAGTAATTTCTGAAAATGAAATAAAAAATAAAACTGCTTCAGTTGCATTTTTCTCTGTTTTGTTCTCAACTTTGTGGTAAGAAGAAAACAGCAGGGTTTTTTAACGGAAGAGATGAGGCAAAAAAAGAGATTGTTTTTGGGGAACCTGTTAATTAGCCGTGTGAAAAATGCAAGTAACAGGGAAATCTTTCAAACCATGGGAAAAAAAAGTTTCTCAAATGTTTCAGATCTTGACATGATATAGATTAAACCCTATATGAAATCTGTAAGAGTCATTGTTTTCATATGGAAAACCTCAGCTCTTCAATGGTGAATTCAGGCCGGGACTAACCTTGTGCAAATTTGTGCAAATCAGAGCCTAAATCTTCCTAGGAGACTCACTTTTGGAAGCTCTGTTTGGATTCTGTGACTCAAAAGACAAGGTAGCACCTCTTGTGGCCTAAAGCTTCATCATGTAGCTATTTTTGATACCTATACTCTTATTTTTTTTAAGACAATGAAGAGATACAGGTTTATGAGGAGAAAACATTTAATTACTTAAAACGGAATAATGCCTAAGGTGACATTAACACCAGTACTTCAGTTACATGGTGACCTACCCAACTTTAGCCCCTGCCAAGACTTATATGACTTTCCCAACAGTTTTGATTAGACAGCGAGATAACAAAAAACCTACTGATGTTGCACTTTGCCAAACATTACTGTTATACAATACTGTGCAGAATTTTTCCAGAATAATACAAATGAAACAGTTCAGAACAAAGAAATATCTATCATTATCATGCTTGTTTCAGATAAAGGAGATAGCTAATCTTTTAGCAGCTGTAACAGCACTGTCTGCACTTATTTCCTTGGCCAGTTTTAGCCCTTGAAAGTAAAAGAGCTGTTCCTAAAATATAGATAGGAGAACCTCTTTTCCTCATGGCTATAATTAAGTTTAATGTTTATTTTTTTAGCTACAGTGCATTTCTAGTGGATACAAAGGTACCTTCCTGTTTATTTAAGCATTACTAAAATATTACTAATGCTACTTATTAATTGCATACTCATATTTTATGTGCTGAATAGGCTAAACTTTAAAGGGAAGTAACACAAGGAAACTAGACTTCTGTGCTGGTCAAGATTTATGGGTGTTGTCACTTGTTCAGCAACAGTTTCAGAAAACTTAAAAAGGCACCTAATTGAGGATGAGGCAGTAGAATCATAATAGTGTAGTATCAGGTGGCATTTAAATTAAGTCTGTGTTTGTTTTATCTTAAACTTGTACCCTCAGAACCTGTACTAGAGCAAGCAAAAGGGATTGCAGTCTGAAATTTTGTATACAAGACTTAAATGCAAGTGGTGTTTAAGAGCAAGCTGAGGTTTATTTTTTTGACTTATATGCTACATGTGGTGCTGAAGAGAGCTTTAGCTATAAAAAATTGGATGAAAATCCTGCTTTCCTTTACTTGCATGTCAGTTCTCTGCTGCTTTGGGTGTGGATGTTTGTGTCAGGGTATGGAGAGAAGTTTGTTTCAAAAATAGGAAAGCATGACCTTGAACAACAGAAAATGAGGAGGGTCATAGAGGCAGGTGCAGCACCTGAGCCTATTTTAAACCCTTTTTGACTGAGTAGATGTTGGTGACAGGAGTCTCTTTAAGTTTCTTAGCTTTTGCAACCTTATGCTTATGTTTTCACAATTATTTTTAGACTCACGTAGGAACTTCCTTTTTCATTGCTATAGTCTAAATACAGCCTTTTTTTCTGAGTAATGCTGTTTTTGTGCATTCTCTGTTTTGTATTTGTTTGTGTGTTACTGCAGTTTTTACCACTATTCTGAATTAGGAGAAGGGTATTTTGGTCAGTTTGGAATACACTTAGACTTTAAATCAGCTGGAGTTAATCAAACTTAATTGCTGCTCTTGTCTGAAAATACACTTTTTTTGTTTCCTAAAGGCTTAGTTTAGAAAATGAAGACGTAAAAGAGTAAAATCTTAGAGTTAGTACAGATTTATTTTTACCTTCCACCTGCAACAAAAACATTGCTAAGTAGTACTACATTTTCTAGGCTTATTACAAAGAAAAATATATCCTGTGCTCGAAAAAACACACAACTTAATCTTTCAGTTTAAAAAAAAAGTTAGACTTTGTGAATATTCTTTTTCTTCTATCTGCAGAATTTCTGTTAAGCGCAGCAGTAGAAAAGTTTAAGATGTGCATTGAAGGAAAACCTCGACCATCCCTCAGTATAGACTTTATAGTATTATGTGGCCTTATAGCCTTGTTAATGGTGGAGGTGATTTGAAATGCTTCTGAAATTATTGGATGTAATCACATGTAGTCACGATTGTTATAAGTGCAAATTTGTGACTATGATAAAGACAAAAGGCACATTGCATTCAGTCTGTGTAGATTTAGGGCTGTTTAGTATCACAGGCTTTAGTGATTTAGAACATCAATTAGTATAGTGAACATCTGTAGGTTTTCTGTATTTATGCATTTTTTATATTGATCACAGTTTGAAATCTAGTTGCAAACCATTTCTGTGTTACCAAATAGATACAAAGAGTCCAAAGAGGTGTGAACTTAAAAACTAACATGTATTGCATTTGGAAGTCAAACTTAGCCCACATACCAATATTTTCATTTGAAAGATGTTTTTCAGGTCATGAAATTATTAATTACATGCATTTGTTCTGATGCAGTCTCAAGAAAAGTTGTGTTATGCCTGTTCTTGCAGGTATGTGGGTAGCATAAGATGTAAAAGTAATGAGTTTTGAAGAAAATCTATAGGTTTGTGTATATTCAGTGTCACTGCACATGAGGGGTTGTACTAAAAGTTGGGATAGTTTTCCTTATTTTACAGTTCTGTGATTTATTATAAGACATATAAATGCAGAGGCATGTATGCATCTCCATTTTTGGCAATGCATGCTTGCTAAAAACACTGAATATAATTTAATAAATTATAATCTCTGAAGGAGCACAAAGTGGAATGGTAGGGATTATATGAATTTAACTTTATCTCTGCAGTGGCATAACTGGCATAGTTGTTAGGAAGTTAAAACCTGGTTGGTGTGGAGTTTGTTCTGGAGTCCTTTGCTGGCTCTGAACATTGTTTGTGTGCAGTGGAGTGCTTGACTAACAGACCTGAACCTCACACATCACATGCCTGCCCAGTTTGAGTCAGAGTTCAAAACTGGAAGTATAACTTCTAGAAAACACACTGCAATCAGCTAAATAAGCATTCTGAAGCTTAGTTAGTGAGCAGCTACGTTTGCATGTTTTTCTTGTTTTCTTTCTTCTGTTGTGTGTTGGGGGTTTTCTTCTCCTAATCCCATATTTAATGAATATACATGGACTATGAGTTATATTAATATATTTATAGACAAATTAACATGAATATATATTCAAACATTATATTAATATAACATATATTAGTATATTATATGACTATATCTATTTAAACAAAGACAGAGCCATTTCAGTAGGACAAATTCTGTCCTGTCCTGGTTTAGGAGCAAACTGTTTTGAATGGTATTATGAAAATAGGAAATTCTGGGATTTGGACATCACAGTGTCAGATAGCAAGAGGAAGAGACACATATCTTTAATGTCATCTCTCTACTAAAGGGCCTATATTGTGTGGTGTTTGATTTTCAGTGTCTGGAGGAACTTGCTCATGCAGAGTTTTGATAATTGGCTTTCAGTCTATACATATATTGATTGTATGTTCTTTGAGAGGGAAAGGATAATAATGACTCTAATCCTAGAGAGTTCACAGAGGTTTCTGATAGATATTTTGAACTTAAGCTCAGAATAAAAACATTATAGAGGTAATATAGGTTAATTAAAGAATAAATTTTACATATATTCATGGGACTTTATAAAGGATATTCCAACAAGCAAAGTATTATGCTATTTGTTGTTGAAATGCTTGAGAAGTTAAAGATTGTCTTGCATAGTTGCTTGAATAGTAAGAAACTAGATTTTGTAAGTGTTAATGAGGAAGAAGTCTGCTGGTAGCTAAATTTTAAGGGATTGATTGTAACAGTTACAAAGTCCACCTGACTTAAAACTCTTTCTGCAGTGAGGTTGTTGGACAGTAAGAAGATATTCCTGCTGTCTCTATCTCATTTTCTGTTCTTTTTCTTGTACTACTAAGCTGGTAGTTGTCCCAGTATGAGTGAATACTTGTGTGGTTGTGTGAGCTCCATCATACACCTAATCCAACCCACCAGAAAAAAAAATAAATCTTAAACTAGGTTAGTTCTAGGCTTGCAGTGTGGCCCCAGAGGTGGTTGGTTGTGCTGTGCATCAGCTTGCAAAATTATACTGTATTTGGTAATACTGCAATATATGTTATATCATGAAACCAAAATCTTACTAAAATAAGACTCTAGATGATATTTGAAACAGTATTCCTGCTATACCAACATAGTGTATACATATATAACAGCATGTTATAGAAAGGCTACTTGAAACCTCAAAACAGAGTTTATACTGCATCATTTTACTTAGAGAAAACACATTAGTTAATTTAATGGAATAATTGGCATGGGAAGAAAGTTTTCAGGGCCCTTGTGTTGACCCAAACATATTTTACAAAGCCTATTTATTTTAAAATGATATAATTTCGTTGAATTTCAGGTTCACAGAATAATGACAGTAAAAGACAGTTTCTTCTAGAACGGTTGCTGGATGCAGTTAAACAGGTGAGAAATCCAATACACATTTCTGTAGTATCCTTACTCAGGGTTGTCAGAACTGGCAGGAACTGTCTTTGCTCTTTTTCCTCCTCTTTAACAAGGAGGAGGAATAAGAAGAAAAGGAGAGAGAGAAGAAATCTTGGCTTTTACATGATACTAAAGATTTTTTTTTTCTGCTAGCAAACAACTATTATGCAGTATATGTTTAAAATTCTTGTTCTTGACAGATTATACTTGTAATGTATATACTTGAAGTGTATATATAATACCATAGAATATATGCTGTGAACATATATATTTGTAATACTGATAAGACTGAACTAAATTGAAGTGTACTGCAAAGGCTAACTTGGTGAGCATTTTTTTCTTTGCACTAGATTTTTAGTGAATGGTTAAAATACGTGTAAAGATATGATTTGTTTATTTATGTCTGTATTTTGCATCAACATGAAGTTCAGCTAGTAGAATTTCATACACTGGATTCAATTTAGGAGGGCTTGTGAGGGAAAAGAATGCCTCAGGAGTAAGCCAATGAGATGTTTTATAAAGAACAATTCTTCTGTAATTGTAGTACTGGGCTGAATAAGAGCAGTGTTTGGTTTTGTGGGTTTTACATTTTACATTTAAAACCCCAAAGTGGTAATTTCCACTCAATTTTCAATTTAGTGAAGGACCTGCAGGTGTGTTACTCTGACTAGCAGGGATATATTGATCTGCAAGAGTAGCCCGTTAGTGGAACACGATGCTGTAGAGCACTTTTTGGTTTCAGGCTGTGTTTGCCCATGCTTTATTTTGTGCTGCTTCCTTTTTTTGTTATTATTTGGTTTCTTACGTGGAAGAAATTCAGAAAATTGAATTTGTGTAGTGTAACAAAAATTTCATAAAATTTTTTAAACTCGGTTTCTTGCAGTGTCAAATACGATTTGGAGGAAGAAAAGAAATTGCTTCAGACTCTGATAGCAGGTAAAATAGTCTTAAGAAACTTTTAACATGCTTAGATTATGCATCATAATGGCATAAAACATGACACATAATACTTGACATGCTCAGAAAATTATATTACATGAAATGTAAGTGTTCTGAAGCTGAAATAACATGGCTAACAACTACTCCAGCAGGTGAGGATGATTTCTCAAATTGATTGCCAGTTCTGAATGTATTCTGTGCCCCAGCTTTCGATCATCATGGTGAGACTGTGGGTATAAGTAGATTATCCTGCCTGCAAATAATGAGATTAGTGCATAGAAGGGGTCTTTCACTGCTTATAAGATAATGCTTCATTTTACATTCCCTATTCAGAGATCTGGAATAAACTTGCTGTATAGAAACATGGTTGATTGTTTTTTTTCCCTATGATTTCTTTAAAAACTCTGTTGCAGAGTGACTTGTTTGTGTGCTCAGTTTGAAGCTGTGTTTCAGCACGGCCTGAGGAGGAGCCGAGGACTGGCATTAACAGCAGCAGCAATCAAACAGGCTGCAGGTTTCTCCAGTAAAACTGAAACAGGTAAGTTGTTCATTGTAACTATTTTAAGCAGTTGATATGTTCAATCAAGTGGTATAATTTCCAACAGAAGTTTTAAGCATTGCTTGAACTGCAGACTGTAGGTAGGATACTTCATACTTGGCAGTGTGTTGTAGCAGTGAAAATGATTATTACTCTCTTATCTAGTTTAACTTTCATACCAAGTTTCTCTAGAAATTTTTGGTGTGAGGAAACTTCTTAGCAGTTAAATGATGTGTAGTGGCAAGTTTATTTTGAATTCTGGTAGGGATAAATGTTGTGTAATTGTGCTGTTAAGTTTTTACAACATTTTCGTTCTAAACTGTCTTACTCCACTCTTTAACTGACGTATTCTATTGCATCAGATGTGTTTAACTTCTAAGTATTGATGTAATTTTAGAAAGAAAACTTATATTACTTGTAACTAAAATAAAGACAAAATGCACATTGCATTCAGTCTGTGCAGATTTAGGGCTGTGTTGTTTGAGTAGTTTTTTATTGCTTTCTCCACATTTAAAGAAAATATTCCTTTATTTTTCTCTTCACCTTGATGTTTCTCTTGGTTTTTTAATCAAAACTATATGAAGATATTAATCAGTTTTGTTGTGAAATTTGACTTTCAGTATTTTTTTTCTTAATCAGGGTACACATAATGGAAAGAGCTCCTTTTTAACTTTTGAAACTCTGTCAAGTGTAACATGTTACGCTTGTAAACCCACATAGTGGAGTTCTGGGTTTTGGTGGGGTTTTTAAAAATATATTCAGTGGTGCTGGAATTGTTAATACACTTTGATCTGCATTTATAACTTCCAGTGACACCAGACAACTGCATATAATGGATATTACATTAACACAAAATGTGTAGTTTGATATAATGGTGTTTTTAAATTGCTTCAGCAACAGACTTGTTCCCTGTGGCAGACAGGGTGAAATGTTGAACCTTGTGTGCTCACCTTCCTGCTAATGGGTTAGAGCCTCCAGGCTGGGCTTTTTTTGGGAGCTAAAGTAGCCATGCTCTTAAAGAAATTGGTGAGTTTTCTATGTTTACCTTTTTTACTTAGTAATGGGCAAGAACCTGATGCTTTGCTGGTGCTAAATGAACAAGTGAGACAAATTCAGCTGTTTACACTGCCTTTACAAATTTTTCAGCTCTTCAGTGGGTTTTTTTTCCCCCCTTGTGTGTATTTTTAATTGGGGATTGGATATTCTGTGGTCTCTTTCAGACTCTGGGTGGTTTCCACCTCTTCAGTAGGAGTGGTTTGGTTGTCTGCAATTGTGAGTCTTATGCTTTGGTGCAGAGAATGTGCTTCCCTGTTCTGCTCTCTCTGGCTTAGGCAAACAGTGTGTCTTTGAAGACAATTCTTATGATTTCTCTCCTGTCTATGGCTAGGGTTGAGGGTGTATGAAATTTTTGATCCTGTGTGTTAGTGGTTAGAAGCACAAAGATACATCTCTGATTCTTGGGAGTTTAGTAGCAATTTAGCTCCATGTTCATGTGTATGTGTGTCTTACCCGGGGGCTTGGCACTGAGGTGATGTGGAGGAAGAGGAGAAAGTCGGGAAGGTTTTCTGTGGTTGGGGAATGGAAGGAGGAAGAAAACATCATTTTTAGTCCTGAGGAAGCTTAAGCAATGTGTGGAAGGTCAAGAACAAAAACATGGCTGCTTTGCAGCAAATAGAATGCTGTACAGTGATTTTTTTTTTGTGTTTTTAATGGAATTGAAGGCTCCCTTGCATTTATCATTACAAATTACGGTGTTGGGTTGGTATGGTTTTGCTTTTTGTTTTTTTTTCCTTTTCCCTGAAAGCAGTTGCAAAGTATTTCTATGTTTATATCACTTTCAGGCACATGAGTCTGGTGTGATTTATATCCTGTTCTGTCTAGCATAATCACAGGTGTCATCTTTTTTTTTTAGCACAGTGGGATACTGCTGTTTAGGCTATAAATTCAGGCTTTGACAATTGAAAAATAAAATTGTTCAGCAGTGGTTTTTGTTTGAAATTTACAGATCCTTCATGACAAGCTGTACTTAATGATTGCCAAACTATACCATATTGTAATAATTTCAAGTTTTACAGATGAATTATCTGATTTTTTTTTTGTTTTCACCCTGAGAAAATGGGAAGAGGTAAATTGTGATAAATATGTCCCTAAAATATGTTCTTACTCTGTTAGAAATGGGAATATGCAAAATACCAGGTGTTTTGTTGTACATTTACAATTACTGATGTAGATTTTTTGTTACCTCCAACTGAGAAATTTGACGCAACTGCAAAAAAATTTTTTATCAATATTTGGTGACAGGACAAGGAAAGTGTTTTAGTGGAAAGAGGTATTGTTGCCTTTTAAATGCAACACTTTTGGTTTTTAAAGTAACATGACTTTGTCATTTGCATGTCAGCAAATTCTGGAGCTACCTGTTCCTTTGGATGTAGCTCCTAACATTTCACAATCAGCCTTAAGATAGAGTTCCAAAGAATTTTTTTTTCTTTGCATAATTTATTCTCAGCTGAACACCTGAACCTGTCCTATGGATGAAATAGTGGCTTAAATGTGATTTTTATGTAAAAGCATGAGATTGAATCCTTTAATTTGTGTGTTTGGCTTTTTCAATGAAGCTAAAAGTTCTAAGTGCTTAAATAGCCCAAGTCCAGTAGAAATAAATAACCTATTTAACAGGAGGGTTGCACCAAGATGGTAAATGATTCACCTTTGTTCAAAGTATAGGTAACAAAGTTACCTGTTTGCATTTACATGTAAATTTATAAAACATTCAGGTATGAGCTTAGCAGTTTTCTTGGTTGGGTTATGATTAATAATAATTTATTATTCAATGGCAGAGCCAGTGTTTTGGTACTATGTGAAGGAGGTTCTGAACAGACACGAGCTGCAGCGCTTTTACTCTCTGAGGGCCATTACCTCGGATATTGGCAGGGGCCGGGCCTGGCTGCGCTGTGCATTGAATGAACATTCCCTGGAAAGATACGTTCATATGCTGCTGGCAGACAAGAATCGACTCAGGTACTGCATCTGATATCTTTGTAAGGCAGGAAATGTGTTGAAAAATTAAGTACTGAGACTAAAAAAACCCCGGACAACCAACCAGAAGCCACGGCTGTAATAATACGCCCTATTCATTGCTGTGCTGCTCAAGCTGCTTCACCTGATTCTTTTGTTCATTTTTTAAATTTTTGGCAGCCATTAAGAGAGTGGCTTGTGCCTATGTCAACATGTGACCTGAGACTGGCTTCATTCTGCCCCATGAGAATCTATACTTCTATCCTCACCTTCATTTCCATCCTCTTTCCTAACTCCCTTCCCTGTTCTTTCAACAGTTTTCCTCACTGAGACATTGGCACCATGCTTTAAGGTGCCCCTCTCATTCCATTAAAATAGTACCCAATTGCAGCCTTGAGCTGACCAGTTCATCAGTGGCCTGTTGCCTTTTGGAGATGCTCATCATGTAATTGCAAAGCTCTAGCAGTGAAATAGTGGGGAGCTGCTACCACAGAGCCCTTGGCAGTGGTTTGGTAACAGCTTGTGAACCTTTTATTGCAGTTACTGAGGATAACTTGCATTGTGAAATCCTGAAGTACTTTGGAGGGGCAAAATGCACTTAAGTTCACAAACTGAGTCCTACCTTTCTCCTCATACATCTTCAGCTCCTGTTCTTTTTGAGAATTTGAGGTGTTCTCCTTGTTTTATCAGTAACTGTTGAGCTTGATCAAGTCCGGCGGATGCAGCAGACAGCCATTCTTTCCATTTGCATTGATTAATGGATGTACTGGATAAGGTTATTGCCAGAACTGAGTTTGTTAATTCCTCCTTTTAATTTTTATTTTGTTCCAGTCTTCTGTAGCTTTCTTCCAATATAAGATCAAATGAAGACAAATGAAACAATAAGGAAAATTGAAAACCATTGCGAGGAAATTAGTGACTTGAATTGCCATGTCACTAATTACTCTCATGCTTTTAGCAATACTTGCTCAGTATCAGGATTATCAGCACAGTCTGCATTGTAATGCTATTTCTAAAAAGGCTTATTCCAGAATCCATTGGTGTAATCTTACTTATTTTTGAGTTTTCTTGTTTTTCAGAAGTGGAATATACGTTAGTATAGGACTACATATTCTTTTTTTTCCTTTCAAATTATAGTGTCTTCTATGAAGACTGGTCTTTTATGATGGATGAAGAACGTTCCAGTATGATCCCTACAATGGCAGCTGGTAAAACTTCCTGTTAAATATTACTGTTCTTGGAAAACTATTGCCTTTTGGGATGTTATATCTATTTCTGGTTGTGAGGAGCTTCTCTAATACACTGCTTATGTGGAGAATGTGTGTCAGAGGCACAGTCAGGGTGAATTGTCAAGGTATTATGCCAGTTTATGCTGTGAATTGATGGATTGTTAAAATACGGATCTGGCCTTCCTACAGTTCAAAAGTCTTTCACATAAATGTTTTTACTCTTCAACAGTCAAGGCTAACTTAAAGCTAGTGCAATTTGGAGAAAACAAAATGGGCTGTTACTGACTAGAAAAGCGTAATGATAGAATTTTGTAGTAAGATCCAAATTATAGGCAAATACAGGTAAGGAGAGTAGCAATAAGGAGTGATAACAAATACTTTACTTTTCTAGTGTTTGACCACAGAAGTGATGTTTTACTACCTCTTTTATCCTTTTACTCAGATACGTGGTCGTGTGCTTTGTTCTGCAAAACCAAGTACACAGAAGTTTTTGGTAATAGAATATAGGAACCAACAAATACTGAAGTTGCAGTGAAATGGATTTAAATAAAAGGTTATAAATAAACAAGTTCACAGTACTTATTGCTTATTTAATGTGCAGCTGAACAGCCATCAAGATGAATTCAGAACTGATTGCATCAGCTTGAACATAGTCTAAAAAAGAATGAATGGTACACAAAAGAATAAGAATTCATGCATGGAGAACTGTGGGAAATTTTTGGGAAAAATATTTTACATGTCATAGCTTTGTTAATCCTTAGGTTCTATGTTTTTATCTTTCATGTGAAGTATGAAGTGTGAACTATAAAGTGCATTTTTGGTCTCTTTTTCCCCCTCTCCTTTATTTGAAGGTCTGAACTCCATCCTTTTTGCCATCAACATTGATAATAAGGATTTAAACGGGCAGAGCAAGTGCGCACCCACCGTGTCTGATTTGTTAAAGGAATCCACACAAAATGTGACTTCGTTGTTGAAGGAATCCACGCAGGGGGTGAGCAGCCTCCTCCGGGAGATCACAGCTTCCTCTGCTGTCTCCATTCTCATCAAACCTGACCCAGACACCGACCCCCTTCCTGTCCTGCCCCGGAATGTAAACGCTGGTAAGATTTTAGGTAATGTTGGGGTCATTCAGAAACTTATCAAATATTCGAGTGTGTTTAAATGACTTTTTAATTTCAACTTGATGCAATATTATAGGACAGAAATCTTAAAAATAAGTGTGTGCTGCACATACAAGCTAGTTGAGTGTGTAATAAAAAGTATGGAATTCTTTAGAAATGCTGGTGTGAATACTGGATGGTATTTCAGCTTTCTTGCATCACTGTGAGAGAGAGGCTGAAGTGTCTTATTGGTAGGGCTTTGCTTGTGACCTGAATTTCAATTTCTTATAAGATTAAACCTTGCAGTTCGTGATGTAATGATTTTTCATTTTTAATTTATTTTCTTTTAGCACTTTTATCAGTCAGAAATACACTGCTATATATCTATTATTATATATTAGATACAAATCCAAGCTTGTAATCTTCTTCAAGTAGGGCCTCTGTTTACAGTCTGAGTTCCTATACAAAATGAAATTCCTGAACCAAAATGAAATTTGCTCATATGCCCTTTTAACCTTTAAATGTCTCAATATTACAACCAGCTTGTAGGATGTCAGTTACTAACAAAGACCCAAAGGCTTAATCTCTTATAATTTGAAAATAATCAAGCAAAATATGATTTTCATTATATATTTTCAGTCCCCAAAATTGCAAAGGAATATTTTATTATCTTTGTTTCTGGAAATTGAGCTGAAAGATTGTTTTGCTTTGTAAAGGTACAAAACTGCAGGAAGATTTCTGTGCTTTTCAATTAAGAAACAAGGTTTGAATTTAGGCATTAAATTGTTTTGGTTATGAGAAAAAGGCAAAAACCCCACATGTGAAAACTGTCTGGTAGGAAGGGAAGTTGAGATAAAATCTGTTTTTTATTGACATTTAAAATAGACTTTGTCTCAAAACATGTTTTTTGAAGCAAACTTGTGGTAAAGCTTTTGTTGTTTAGCACTTAAATGAGATTAAAATTGTAGCTGATAACTTGACTTGGGATAATTTTGTTAGAATAGAATAGGCTTGCAAGATGAAATAAGAGAATAATTCACCATATGCTGCATATGACTCTACAACATAATGTACATTATGTGCAGAGTACATAAAATGTACAACTTACAGTAAAATGTCACTTTAAAAAAATGAGTTTCTTCAAATGCCATTATAATGTGGAATGTTAGAGCAAGTCAGATGTTTTCATTAAAGTCTGTGTTCTTTGTTGGAATTCTGTTTGCAAGCAGAATGGGTTTTAACATCCTCTTAAAAGTATGTTTTGTGGATATAGAACAGCTGGATTTGTATTAAACAAAACAGTTTAGCCTCAATGTGAGTTGTCTCAGTGAGTAGATTTCTGATATTTCTTAGCGTGCTTCAACTTTAGCTTCATGTGCACATAGGATTTAGTGAGAATAGGTAATAATTTAAAAACAGGTGCTGTCACTGAATAGATCTGGTGTAATCTGAGGATTTCAGTGTATTTCTAGACCAAGAGCTAATTACCCGAGGGAGGGAGCAAGCTTAGTTTCTTTTTCTGGGAACTGACTGCTCAATTTTTAGAGTTTAGACAAAACTACCTTTACTTGATTGCAAGTTGTGGATTTTGTTCATGTTGTGAGTTTGTTCATTTTAATTTTTTCTCTGTGAGTGTCTTGTGTTTTCTCTGTTGGGTAGACATGCTCTGCAATATACACTAGAATATACATTAGGTATATTCCATGGGAGAAAGTGACAGGAAGGCTAACTTTTTATTTTAAATTTCATTCTATGAGTTTGTTCAACTTTTTTTTTCCAGTTCCAATTGAATAATGTTATGAATGTACCTCCAAAACGTTTTCTAAAATTTGAATTGTGTAAGGCAGATAAAATAAAGAGGGTAATTAAAGATTTAAAAGCTTGTGTGTATGGAAAGATAATGAATGCCTTGTAGATCTAAGTGGCTTTTTCTTTACTAAAGTCATTTAGTACATGAGCTCTTTTAAGGAAAAAACAGATTTACTATATTGTTTCTCTCTTCTAAACTATGTAAAACTTTGTATTGTTACTAGATTTGAGATATAAAAAAGATCGAAAAAAGAAGAAGAGAGTGACCAATATTATCTCATTTGATGAAGAGGAAGATGAGCAAAATTTGGGGGATTCCACAAAGACTCTGATTACAGGAGAAAGCTCAGAGGAGAGTGTAGACAGATCCTCAGTCCTTGCATTATCCTCATCTGAAAGCACTCTTGGAAAAAATGTGAACGGGAATGAAAGTAACAGTTCGTGGAAGAGCAATTCATTGCCTCATTCTCTCATGAATGGAGAGTATGAGTACCAGAAACTGGATGTGAAGAGCATTGATGATGAAGATGCAGATGAGGATGAGCTGTATGGAAAAACATTAGGAAATAAAGGCACAGAAGGTGAAACTGAAGCTTCTGAAAAGTAAGTAACGGTGCAGGAGCTGGTGGGAAACTTTCCATGCTTCCCATCCGCCCTTCCCTTTTCTTCATGGGCACTGGCAAATTGATATGTTGAACTGAACTACAGGTGTTCTCTCTTCCCCCTCCCCAATTCCTCCTCCTCAACCTTTTTTTCCCTTTTTTTTGTTTTTCCTTGTTTTTTCTTGGTCATTATTTAAACCATCTGGGCCACTGTGGTGATGATATTTTGCTTCTAAGTTCCACTGAAAACCAAAATTTTGAGAATTAGTTTTCTCATTCTCCTTGAAGTTCTCAGTTGTTTAAATATTTGCATGATATAGCCTGGCTGTAATTCTGGCCTACTTGATGTTTCCTTATTCTCATATGATATGAATTCTATTTTGACTTCATAGTAAAAACATGTATTTTAAACAGAGTAAGCCTGTTACATCAGAGTAGATAGTTAAACAAGAGGAGATAGTTAACCAAGACAAAACCAAGAGAGAAGGAATAATTTTAAATACGAATATGCTTGCTTTATTTCTGACAAAGAAATTTGTTTGGAGAAAAAGGCAAGCACTGTTTGTCTCATCTGCTTTGGATTGTCTGATCTTTAATGGATTAATGTATGGCTGGCCAAGAAACTGGCAGGCAGATTGAAGTAAAGATTTTTCTTGACGTAGTATCTCTGGAAGAAATATATGCATTATGAACATGGATATTGACTGTATAAAGAGATTGTTTTGTTTGCTTGTTTGTTTTAAATCTAGGACTCATGAAATAGGCACTTGCAATTCTCAGATATGCAGTTGGACTCCTCTGCAGGTCCTCAATGATGACTCAGATGTGCTGTTCCCTGTCAGTGCTGTTGGCTCTTACTCCCAAACAGGTGGGTATTTAATTCGCAGGATTCCAGCAACCTTTATAATGGAATTTCTAACATGGGACAGTGGCAAGAAATAACAGGATTGTAAGGACATAGGACATACTGTGTATCTGGGGTAGAAAGGAATTAACATTCATTCTAGTTCTGAATCAGAATTCTTGATTTGAGTAGTTATTTAGTTGAGGAGGATTTGCCAATGTAAAAATAAACCAGAGTTTTTTTGGGATTAAACTGTGGTCTTGTATGGTATTTTATTAAAACTTCAGGTATGCTTATTTTTTCAGTGACCATTTAAAAACTAATCAGTGGCATTAAATAATGTTTTCATTGTAAAATATTTAACTTTTTTTAAATATACATTTTGTATGCCAAGAGTTTACATGGATTGTTAATTGAAGGCCTGTGAAAAAGTGTCATTCAGTTCTGTAAAATCAGTGATTTTAAATTTGAATCATAAAATAAGGCTGTACTGCCCTCTGCTGTATTTTAAAACATGTGCCTTATAAGAAATGGCAGTGGTTCAAAATAAAGATAGAAAGTACATTTTCATTTTTTATTTGTGCTGCCATATTTTTCAGTTTATGAAGGAATGGATTTAGAAAGCATCACATAGTTTGTGGCATCATGTTCTTTTAAGTTTTATACAGAAACTGCTAGAGAACATCCACAGGTTGAAATCTGGGATACAATTGTCCCTGTTTATGGGGGTGGTGGTGTGTGGAATGGGAACTCACAGTTGTTGTGGGAGTTGTAGATGTCATGAGGCATCAGGACTGTGAGCTGGAGTTTGTAGCTGAAATCAAAAATTGGGAGTCTATGCCAAGATGGAGACAGATGACCAAAGAGGACAGTAGCTGTAACAGGCTTACTTTTATTAAGAAGATACCAGAGATCCTCGTTTGGTCTTGCTTCATCTCGGAAGTGTTTTGAATACAATGCTCAGACTACTAGAGATGATCAACAGGCCCGTTCAGATCCCTTCTGGCACAATACACAGACATTTTCAGTTCTCCTTCTGTCTCTCTTTGTGATAACCCCTGTGGTCCATCCTGCAAACTGGAGTGATCCAACGCTGGGCTGATGAAAGGGATCTTCATCACTTGTAGGAAACAGCAATCCAGGCCCTGGTGTCTGTTGTTCTGATTTCAGCTCTCTGTGCTGTCCCCGAGCCCTTGGGCGCCGTGTGGAGCTGCCAGACTGGGCAGGCAGGGCTGCCCCAAACGGCCCATCCTGCAACCCAAATGCCACCCAGGGAGGGACAGGGATACACACGGATACAGTCACCCTCTCCTCAGCCATGCTGACAGTTTGATGAGATTGAAAGCTGCCTTAGGCAGTTGTTTGCTTGACTTTGGAAGTTACACTTGTGCTACAGATGAATGATACGAGAAGGAATGGGCATTAGCTTATTCTGAGGGCAGTTCAGCCCAGTAACTGGCAAGCTCATTTTTATTATGACACCATTTGCTAAAACAATCTTAAATAGCTCTTATAAAATACATAGTTTAACCCAATGCTTTGGTTTATAGGTCTTAATACAGATTAATAACAAGACACATATATTTGAAATAGATTACAGCTTAATCTATAGTGCTGTATGTTAATATCTGTGTTTTCAGTTTTAGTCTGTTGCAGTGCTTCAGGGATGTGTCAGGGCATATCATATCTCCATGTAACTAGGAATGAGAAAGCCTCAGTCAAAATTCAGTTGCTTGGAACAAAAATGGAGTATGCATTTTAGGAACTGAGCTTCAGTAAACTCTACGACTTAAAAAATTTATTTTCTCTTCCATAGTCTTTCTGATATAACTAATTCCTCTTAACTTTTTTCCTAGAATTCCTGCTTTTAATCTGTGGTATTTTAGTTCGTGATTTTAGGATTGTCTTACAGTAACTTTGTAACCCTTACATAGTGAGATGCAGAAAACATCAGTAAAATATGATTTTTGTTTCTTTCCACATGAACTTCCTTACTGACAGGCCCAGTGATGTGTATGTTTTGATCCCGACAGTTGTGGATCTGTGGACAGATGCATATTATTCATGCTTTTTAGACAATGTCTCATCTGTCTGATTCCTGATGTTTACTACATAGACATAAGGGGCCAGAGAAAAGCCATGGTGCTCTGTTGGGAATACATAAAGGACTGGTGTCTTTGCAAGGTTTCACGTGCTGGGGACGAACCACAAATTCTTCTGCAAGTCACAAACAGATTTGTAATGAGTAGCAGATGCATGTGGAGGTTGAAGTCCTGGGGCTTGCAAAAATAACATCAGTAAGAAGTCTCTTCATAGCTTTGCAACACTAGTAGTGTAAAATATACATATAAAATACAATGTAGAAATTGTGCAATACTGATTTTTTTGATGATGGCTGTGTTCCTAAGGGACTTTACAATCCTTCTGGCATTCGAGGTGAATGTGCAGAAGCCAACTTTGGAGAAAGAATTTAAAGTGTTTCAATCTTTAGTAAAGATGAATATTTCTGTTTAAAAATGTAACTACCTTCTTTCTGGATTTATGTTTTATTTTTTTAAAGTACTGTAAACTGAAGAAAGCTAATACTTGTGCATTCTACTTTAGATAACTTGGAGAATGGAGAGGGGCATGAACATGTTGTTCACCCGGTAGAACTGGTTCCCAGAAGATCTGATCTCCCTTACAGGTATGTGTCAAATATGTTTTTCTTGAAAAAAAAACTTCACCTTGTAGCTGGCAACTTGTTATTGTTAGCTAATGCAATCAGTACTGGAAAACCAACTACCCATCTGGGTACTCATGCAAATGTTTGGAAAGACAAATGCAAAAAATCTGCACTTCCTTTTTGCCTTATTTCATACACTGACCTTCTCCTATTATCTGGAAGAATTCACATCATCATGTCAAATAACAGACAGACTTGGCCTCCTGGTTTTGAAAATAAGTTTTATTTTGGGTTTTATGTTATTTTTTTTTTTACTTTATTCTCCATGACCTGCTAATTTGGAGTTTTTTTGTGTGTATTCTTAAATCAGGCTCCCAGGAGATGCAATAAAGGATAGTTAAACCTAAGTTATTAAATAGGGGTGAATAGGATGACAGTTCTAGTTTCTGGAATGGTTTTTTTCTTAAGATTTGAATTTAGGATTTTGTTTCCATTTATTGATTATTCTGTACTTTTATGACTAGAGTGGAAGTCAGTCCTCCAGCACAAGTGAATACTTTAAGCAGTATGTTGCCTTCAGCCACCGTGCCAGAATCCATGACAATTAGTAAGTACTTCCTTGATGTATCTAGATTGATGGAAATAACTTTGAAAGACCTATAATTCTTTCTATTTTTATTTCAGTAGGATCTGTTTAGAGAGGCATAGAGCACTTCATTTCTGATGTGCTGGCCACATTAGAAAGAACTGCTCTAAAATGATGTTTGTATTGGCAGATCCCAGGTTAGGGTTCATTGCAACTACTATATCCTTACAGTAGGCGTGACTTCAGTAGTTAAATGAAAAACAATGATTTAATTTGATTAACATCTTTAAATGTCTGCAAGCTCTGAAAATTATTTTTCCTGCTTTCATTTATGCTTAGTCAGAAAAAACTAAACACAGAATTCTTTCTATGTACACTCAGTCTGTGATTTTGATATGAAAATCTGTTCCAAACATAAATATGGGCTTTCATATGCAAAAGCTTTAGTTAAGATGAAGGTGGAGAACAGTCATATTTTCAGTAGTATTCAGGGTAGAACTAGACAGGATAAAGTAGCCTCTGCTGTAGAAATAGATTAATAGAAGCACAGGCAGATTGTTTACCCCATCTTTAGTCTATTTTCTTGTAGAACAAAGGCTTAGTTCCTAAACTGACTGTCCAAACACGTGAGCCAGTATGTGTTGATGTTCCTCACAGTACAGAATGTTCTGTAACTGAACTGGCTTTGTTCCTAAAGCTCTTGGGTGCATGTTTGTTTCTTCTTTTAAATTTAAATGTGTACAAGTTTTAAATTATGACATTTAGGAAGTTAAAAGCGATGTAGCCAAAATTCTTTACTGAAACTGAATCATGAAACCAACAAAACTGGTGAACCCTTAAGATATTCTAATCTCATTTTTTGGAGTCGTGTTCAAATGCTTTCTGTGTCAACCTGTGTTAAAGGAGGTAGACCATGCATTTTCACTGGGCAAGGTTCCAGGCTCTGGCATTGGTCTGCTGGCTGAGCTTTACAAAGCTGAAAAATCCTTTCTTGCAAGGTCCTTCATGAAGTGGGAAACCAGTTTGAGACATAATTGAAGGTGTAGATGGAGTTCCTGTTGCTAGTTACTGCGATACCTGGTCATTAGATGTTCTCTGCTGATGTTATTACTACGATATCCTTTTGTTCTTACATTTTGATTTTATTTTTTGGGTTGCAGCGTTTCAATGGGAATGTTTCAGGTGTTCCTGCCCTCTCTTGATTCTGTTGGTTTGTAGGTGTCAGGTACCAGCAGGGGCCGCAATTGGTCTCCTTCAGTTGCTCAGTTAGTTCCGAGGTGTAGGTAAGACAGCTATAAAATAGAAAGAAAATCTTCAGATTTTCAGTTCTTGGTACTTGGCAATTTGTAAATGAAATGGAAACACGGGATCAACAGAAGCATGCACAATATCATTAGTTTCCCATTTCAGAGAAGGCTTTGGGGGAAGGAATTGGGAGAGGGAGGCATTTTAAAACCACCTACAAAGCTAGTAGGACACTTAGTAAATAATCATAATTATAATCAAAATTCAGATGAATATGCATTTATAGTATTAGTCAATACCTTTATAATAGCTGATCCCAGGTAGATTCAATAAAAATGCTTTTTTCAAGTTTGTTGTTATTGATTGTAGATTCTTTGTACAGGAAGAAATCAGTGCTATGACAAAGTCAGACACTGAAGCTCTTTTTCTCTATTGCAATTAGCAGAAGAATTATTAAATGGTGAGGCTTATAGCTTGGTTGCATAGCAACTGATTCTAACACATCAGGCAAGAAAAATGGAATGCAGTAGTGCAGTGAGAAAGCTGTGAGGTCTCCAGTGACTGGATTTTTGTGCTTCTTACTTCTGGAGACAAAACCTGAAATTAATTTTTTAAAATTTTTATTCTTTTCCTGCTTCCTTTCCAACTTACTAGTATAGTACTAAGCTTTTCTTGCTTCTTGTGATATGCAGGCTAGAAAATTATATTGTGAGAAGCTGTAATTTAAAATTTCTGCTATTTTGAATTATTTTCCTGGATTCATGTCTTGTGCATTTGTAAGGTATAGGTTAACTCAGCAGCAGATACAGCTCAAAAAATATTAATACCACCTAAGATAAATCAAAATCCATAGAGTTACTTTTGCTGTGTATTTTAGACATCTTTTGAAAGCTTACCCTACTTTACAGATCATTATGTCTTAGAACTAATTTTATTAAGAATTAAGTTTTTCAGAAGTTTTATATATATGTATCTACTCTATTATGTACATTTCCAATTTTTTAAAAAATTGTATTTATCATATATGGATCACAAACATCTTTGTCTGTTCCAAAGTATTGCCATTGAAAGATTATATTTTCAGCATTGTTTTGGTGGAAAACAATCTGTCCTACCAGCACAAGTCTCCTCGTTCTGTTTTTGCAGTGGAAAAAAAAAGAAGTTCCAAAACTTTCATTTGAGAAGGATGCTACTTGTGTCCTTTTTTGCAGGGTTCTTTTATTATAGTGCTATTCTTAGCAAATAATTGGTAATTTAGTTTTTTCCACTCTCATTTTCTTCAGTTTTTAAAATTGGTATTGACCACAAAGGTTAGCAAAGGTTGTAGCTTTGTACGTCATTCCATATTTTTTCATGTATTCTTGAGAAAGCCCCCGTTTTTTCACAATCACCAAAGAACTTTACTGAATAATCAAACCTACGTATTATATTTTTATCCTGGTTGTGTAAGTCAATAGGGTGGATGTGTTTGTACTTTCTGTGTCCTCTAAACAGCTTCTGACCTGTTCTGTCACCTGGTTGCCACTGGTCACTGACAGGTACTAAATTCTCGTGACTTCTTTGAAAGCACAGCCGTGGAAAGAGGGTGTTTGTATTTCATTGGTGAGAGCAAAGCTGCAGTTCATCTTAGACTTATTTTTGATCAGGACCCTTCTATGCAGTAGAAGACCAGCACTGGATTGTCTAATTTGTTTCTTATTAATATTTGCCCTATGAATAGTGACATGACAGGATAATATTTACTGGATTCTTGAGCACTAAATAAAGTCTTAACAGTCAGTGTTCGTGCAGGCAGCTTAGGGAGCATACAGCTCTTCATGTCTTTAAAGGTCAGACTTCTGATTTAGGATGTAACTAGTCTGGTGGAAGTTTTGTTTGTCTCTGAAAATATCTGTGTAAATTTGCACTCAGGAAAATAAAAAAAAATAAATCATTCCTGGAGACTGCTCCCAGCCCACCCTGATAGTTTGTGTGCAGGATTGCAGAGGAGTTCTGCATGACCTTGTGTTCTCTGAGAGATGATTTCACTTACAGCTCATTCTTCATAACAGGTGATTGCAAAACATACTTATCCACTTTTGGGCTAAACAACATAAGTTGTGAAACTTATGACTTTTCTGGAGGTTGCTGGAAAATTGACAGGTGTTTCTTAAAGCATAATGTATTTCATGCTCTGAAGGTGACCTTATAAAGAAAGACATAGTTTGGAATTACTGGTTTGCACATGGGAATCCTTTTTTCAAGAAGTTGTTGCAAAAATATCCCCTAAGGTTACATAATATGAAAGACTTAACTGGTTTTCTTGTATCTGTCTTTACAGAACTCTGATTATCACTTCATTTTTAGATATGTTAGTGTTGAAGGCTGATCCTTAATAGCAGTAGTGTATCACTTTTTGTTAATGGTACTTTAGAGAACATAAATGTCGTGTCAAGCACAAGGCAATTCTGAAGTAGGACATAAAGTCTAACATCAAACACTTTCATGAAGTAAGAATACTTGGCCATCCTCCCACTGTTTTATTAAAAAAAAAAAATAGAAGAGCGGGGAGAAAAATTGAAGTTGTGAAGTCCAGAAGTCAGAAAATGCCAAATTTATGGTTACTGCTACAACCCTGACTTTTTTTTTTTTTTAAATTTATTCCCTTTTCTAACCCACACAATGTATGAGACATAAGTCTGCTGGAAAATTAGGTTATGATCATACACTCATCTTGGAGGCAAGCATAACAGACAAAAGCTTATGAACTGTGGGTGCTCTGGCAGGTTTGAAGTGAACCTGCCTCAGTGAATGATACCAGATTTACTTTGTTTGCATTCAGCTGACTGGTCTGACATGCTGCTGAAATCCTTCCAGAAGCATAAGTGAAAGTCATAAATTGCAATTTTTGTAAGTTTTAAATGTTATACCTGAATTAAATAGGACGGTGCCCTTTTAGTTCTATTCGGTTCCTTGCATCAAAAGATCATGAAATTAAAGTTTCTGACTTTTTCTTGGTAACTTTTTACTTATTTAATTACACCAATAATGTTTTACTCTTTTGTATTTATTGTGAATGGAGAGGCTAAAGAAGTGTGGATGATAAATTGTATAGTTCTTGTGTTTGTTTTGAGAAATTATAGAAAATATGACTCCTTAATACTCATCACTTCAAGAAGAAACAACATAAGTATAACCATGCTGCTTGGGTAGGCACGGGCTGTACCAGCCTCCTGGGATCTCTGGTCTCTTAGCCAGACCAGTGGTTTGTGGTGAGCTTTCCTCCACATCTCCACTGGTATCTGTAATTGAACTAAATTAGCAAGGAATACTGAGTATGAGGTGTGTTTTCTTTTGTGATCCTAAATTAAGCATTGATTTTTTTTTTCCTGTATGTGATAATGAAATTTGGAGTTTCTGCTTTGTTGTGTCCCCATAGTGTTGTCAATTCCATAACTCTCAGAAGAACGAGGCAAATGGAAATAGAAAAGTATTTTAACATCTTCTATTTCAAGAATCTTTTTTCTTCTTTTTTTGCAAACCGTGGCCTTTAACAGAATCTCGCTTTTGTGCTCTGCTTTTGTGTGTGTGGGAGAGGGGACTGGGAGAAGGTGGGATTTCAGGTCTCCACTCATGCGGAAGATTCTGGATGGAATAAGGAAAAGAAGATTAAGTTATTAGGCAAGTTAAGGTTACAGTTTAAATAGGCTGGTAAAATTGACAAAATGGAGACAATTTATAATAGCTTCACAGTTTAAATGTTAATAAATGAGTACGCATTAAAGCCCTGAGTGTGCACACAGGCAATTATTGCAGAGTAGGCACCCCAGAGTAAGTGCAGAACCAGCACTGCAATAACTTGTCTGAGTAGCAACAGCTTTAATTTATTCAGTTAGAGACATAATAGCAACTAACTGTTGATTGTGCATTATCATATTTTAATGACACGCTTGAAATATTTAAAATATCATTGGCTTGATGCTTTCTTGAGGAGGATTCTGGATTCAACATTGTAGTTCAGGATCTTTATTTTGTTACAGAGTGTTACTGTACTAAAGGCCTTCAGTGGATCCTTTTGCTTGTATACATTTATATAGCACTTCCTGGATCGTTCTATTTTCTTTATCCTTAGAGCAGTTGTTTGTTTCACAGATAGGCTGATGGATTGTGGTCCATTTTGACATTTTGGCAACATTGCATATTACATTTTCAGGAATGTTACAACCCACCAATTGCCAAAAATTCCCACCAAAAAACCACAAAATACACCAAACAAAAACCTCTCAAAATCCCCAACCTTTCCAGTGTGCCCTCAAAGTGGCAGTGTCTCATCATGACTAAAATAATACTAATAGTGTGTTGAGTTGCATTATCACCAAGTTTGATATTTTATAGCTAAGTATAATACTTAAATCTCAGAGTGTAGGTTTGTTTTTTTTTTTTTATTTTGTTCCCTCACCTCACTCCCCCCAACCACCCCCAAATTAGTGGTAGCCAATCAAAGCTATTACAGACCATCTTTTGAAAAATAGTGATGAAAATAAAGGAGCACGGCGTATTTTGTCATATATAATCTTTCAATTCTAAGTTTTTCTACAATTCCTATATAAATTACAGTGGTTACCTGGACAATTCATTGCTGTGTGAACTTTACTCTTGCCAGAAGGGATATTCCAGCTTTTACTCCTTGTTATTATTAACTAGAAAGGTGTTCTGCCTTTACTGCTTTCTGTTGTGTGCCTTGTGCCAGCAACAGCATTAAACTCAACAGTAAGATCACTTGGCCACTGCTTGTGTGAAAAGAAAAAGAAATACACCCCCCATTTTGAGCTGGGTCAGGTCCTGCCAGGACAGTGTGAGTAGAAACACCAGTGCCACGACAAGGGAGGTGGTGGCAATGATGGAAAAGGCAACTGGAATGTCCTTTTCACTGAAAACACAGCCTTAGGAGGACTGGTTAAAGTACCCATGTAATTGCAGCTTTGGTTTTGAATACGAGAAAGCAGAAGTTTCCAGATTTTTTTTAATGTATGCTCGTATTTAATACCCACAAATTTCACTTTTGGCTTTTCTGCAAGATTTGGATTTGTTTTCTTTTTTTTTTTTCTCTGTAGAAAAATAATTATTCTTTCTATGCTGAAGTAATGAACTGCAAAATCCCCTAATGACCTACTGAAATGTTTCTTGCTAATGTCAATTAGTTCTTAAGCTGTAATATGGATAATATGAAATGAGTAGAAAAATAATCATCTACTTTCTTCATGGCCAAAGAAGCAGAAATGTTTTGGAAAAAAATCTAGCATGGAGAAATTTGGGTTGGCTGGTTTCAGATGATAGGAGAACCCTGCTGAATCCTGCAGTCCTGCAAGGGTGGGGTTAACCTGGAGGTTACCAATGCCAGCCTGGAACTGTGGTGTCTGCAGCACTGACTGATACATTGGATTGACATGAATCCTTCATGTTTTGGCCACTACTAGATTTAGCAGACTTCATCTGGTCCACAGGACAATGTTAAATTTTTCTTGAATGGGCAAAAATTTTTGTAGCTGTAGAAAATACTAAGAAAGATATGGGTAAATCAGTGAACTGAATGTAAAGGGAAAAAAGTTATCCACTGGCTTTGCTTGCTGGAAGAAAACAAGTAGTACCAGTTCTGTTGGTATGTTTTCAGTAAAAGCACACAAAATTTGTTGACAAATTTGTTGAATACTTGCAAAACAGAGTTGGTTGATTTATTATATATAAACATGAGAGCATTTCATTTAACTCTTGGGAGGGATGTTTTAATATAATTGTGTCCTTGTAGCACTCATAAAATTATTGGTTAATATATCTGAAATTGTTAGTGCAATTGTTAAAAAAAATCTGGTTTTGGATGATATGTATCCATCCTGATGATTACTAGAAGCCACTGGAATCTCTGAAGACCTCTTTTATTTCATGTGTTCATGCAAGATCTGGAAGTCAAAATCTATAATTTTAGATTAGATGATTAAGTCCTAATATTTTTCTGTAAATTTATAGTAAGTAGTCGTGGTGCATCTGTACAGTTATATGGTAAAACCTTTACTAAAACCTCAGCAGAAGGACTCCGGGTGAGGCAGTGCTTTGAGCTGACACTTTTCTGTATGGTATTTGGCTTTTCTGGTATCATGTTAAAACCTAAAGAAATCTTTAAAAATTCTAAAATTCTATCAGTTGGGTTTTTTAAAATTTTTTTTCTTGATGTAATGACAGAAAGTATTTTTAAAGTATTTTTAAAAAATAGAAAGGTTTTCATAGGAAATTACAAGATTCAGAAATCCCATATTTAAGCCTGAGCTTGAGAAGAAATGCCATGAAGAAGCAGTGACATTCTCTCTATTCCCACCTCTCTGTAAGGGTTATATTTCCTGTGCCAGAATTTGTAGGAAGGAAAAGAAGCAATTTGAAGGAGCTGAACGAGCAGTGTATGTCATTAATATGCACAGAGTGAAAAGGTGCATTCTGCAATACAGCTGTGATTAAAACAAACCAGCTGCACCCAGGGCACACTTGTAAACATTGGTATTAAAGCCAGATGCAGACTCATTTGGTTTGATCAATTCTTCTGATATGGTGTTAAATTACCCCGGTTTTGAAAGATTGCTCAAATTAGTGATGAGATTGAGAGCATTTTTATGTGCTTTGCTGAATAGCAAATGGTGTTGGCATCATTTGGAGTGTGTTGCCTGTGTACATGACTTCTAGATCTGAACTGAGCAAAGTGCACACAGACATTGAATCTTTTTTCTCCCTTCTCTTTAGATGAACTTCGTCAAGCTATCGTGGCCATGATGAATAGGAAGGATGAACTGGAAGAGCAGAATAGGTAGTTTTCTTTTTTAAGTCAAGAGGGACTGTAATTAAAAAAAAAAAATCTGTTCTTTAATACAAGCTGTCCTTTATGTGAAGCTATACATAATTTTTGTGTAATCTTTTTGATGTATAGGTTATTTTTCTGCAAAAGCTAAACTTAATACTCCACTATTTAAATGTCGATACTGAAAGTAATGTTTTCAGGTCAGCTTCTTCCTTTGAGTTAGTTTAGTTTAATCACAGATAAATCCTTGTATTTTGGCAGCTTTTGCAGTTACAGTTTTTTTCAAAACCAAAACTTACAGCCGAAAAATTCTGAAGATTTCTTAAGACAGCTTTCCAAATGAGCAAAAGTTTATCCTTTCACAAATATTTAGAAAATGTCTTTTTTTCCCCTTCTGGTTTAGAACTGTTGTAGGATGGCTGACAATGTAATGCTGAAAGTGGCTTTCATTTGTGAGGGTCTTTATGTTCACTTGGGGCAAAATGATGAGGTAAATGTAAAAATGATCAATCTCTTATTTAATATTTAAAATAAATACAAACCTACTTTGTATTTATTTAGTTTATTGAGACACATAATTAGATGAATGAAAGTACAAATGTATTCAATGTTTGGTAATTTACATTTTCCTATAGATGTTTTGGGACTTTTTAATGCCCATTCTACCAACTGATTCTATTTTCCTGCCTCCTCTTCTTCCTACTCCCACAAATGCAAGTTATTGCCCCGTTCAGCTTTGTGTTTTTTGGCAGAAGAACCAGAATGCTTTGGGTTTTTCCATTATACATCGTGCTGACCTTTGCTATCTCATCAAAGGCTTTACACAGAGATCTGCAGCAGAGACATGTCTGTCTCCTGCCCTTGCTAGTAAATATGTTGCCTATAGATTATTTCTGAGATGTATGGACTTGCACTGAAGCACTGAAAACTTTTATTATAAACTTTTTTAAATAATAAATTCTTTCTGTATGGTGGTGCAGTAGATCCCATAACAGGTTGTGCTTTGGGCGTGTTGATGGGATTGTAATAGAAATTAATAGAAAGCATTTACAACTGCTCCAATTGGGTCTATTTCCTTGTAGCTTTTCATATCTTTGTATAATCAGATCACGTGAATTTATTCCATTGAATAATGAAATTTTGGGAGTGCATTAATGGTGTCATTCAGGCAACCTACTCTGTGATTCCTGGAATATACTCTAACTACTAAATAGTGTTTGCAGGGTTCAAACCAGAGGCTGTTGCCTTCTTCCAGATCCCTGCGAAATCTGCTGGATGCAGAGATGGAGCTCTCAGCAGCACTGAGGCAGGAGATGGACAACTGGAGAAGGAAAGTAGCAGAGCAGGAAGAGCGACATGCCACCAAAGTCCAGGCCTTGGCACGGTAAGAAGGGCTGAAAAGGTCTCAAAAAGTAACTGCAGTGGAACAAGGGAATAAAAAAGTCTATATGCAAGAAAAATGATTTTTTTTTTTCTTCCTCCAAAATACACAAGCTGGATTGTTGGGATTCTAGCTGTCAGATCTGGAGCCAGTGTGGACTTGTTTTGGAAGCTATTTCATTTTAATATTGCTCCACAGTGTTTCCTTTGGTAGGTGGTTTATGTAGTACCACATTGAGATTAGTTTGGGGACTCCTCTGCTCCCAGCAAGTTCTTACTCCAGTAAGTAGCAACTGTGTTGAGTGATCCTAGTTGAAATGAGTAGGAATATTTGTGTCTTTATTTATTGCTTTCAGTTATGTAACATATGTCAGTGCTGACACAGACACCCTTCTCTTTGTGCCCTCAGATGTGTAAGCAGTAAAGAATGGATTATCCATCCCTTCAGTGACACTTCCATCTGATCTGTCTTTCTTCTATTGGATTACTTAAGCATGACTACATTTTCCATGAGCTGATGCTTTTTTGTCCTCTTGGCAGGTTTTCATGGCTGACCATCAGGAGCAACAGTTGTTGCCAAACATTATTAACAAACAAGTACCAATTTCTGAAGTGGTGCAGCTGTTTTCCCCTAGCTCCAGGAAGGTCAACTGTAACAGGTTGCTCAGGACCATTTCCAGTCAGGTTTTGAACATCCCCCCAGCCCCTCTGGGCAGTGTTGCCAGCAGTGTTGCTGTTGCCTTTCTTTGCCATGAAGGGTGTGTTGCTGACTTGTGGTCAGCTGCTTTTCCACCGGGACTCCCAGATCCTTCTCCATAGAGCTGTTTTCCAGCCCCTCAGCATGAATGGTTGCCTCGGGCTATTCCTCCCCAAACGCAGGACTCCGCATTTCCCCTTGTTGAACTTCATGGAATTTTTCTGAGTCCAGTTCTCCAGCCTGTCCCAGTCCCTCTGAATGGCAGCATAGCCCCCCTGTGTATCAGCTGCTGCCCAGTTTTGTGTTGGCTGTGACCTTGCTGAGGGTGCACCCTGGCCCAGCACCCAGGTCATTAATGAGGGTGTTAAACAACAGTAGTGATTTGCCTTCAGCTTGACTTTATGCCACAGCTCTACTGAAAGAATTGTAACCCTCCCCTCATCTAAATGTGATTTAGCTTAAGAAAGACTTTTGAAGGTAAATGCTGCTGTAATGGTTTGATTTTTCTTACAATTGTAAATAATCTCTAGAGTAAACTATGATGTGTAAATTCTTGGGGATGATTCACATGTATAGTAAACAACAAACCCATCCCAAGAGTTAAATAAGAATAGTAATCTGGGCCTTATCTCAGAGAGAAGGGTTTGTTTTCTGCCTGCACAGGCTGAGTGCTCAGTGTCAGTCCTAAAGTGCCACAGCTGAAATTCCTGTAAGCTTTTTATTGCATAGCAGAGCTGGTATTTGAAAATGATAAATATAAAGCTTTCTTAAGAAAAAAAAGTATTTAGAACACTACTAATTCTGCTTTTGGTGACACATGAAACCAAACTACTCACTTGAGGTAGGGAGAGATATGGGTAAATGGGTTTGACATTCATGTGCTGTAAGGCCATAGAGACAATGCAAATGCTTCAGCATTTAATATTCACGTTTCAGGTTCTAGGAATTGTGTATTCGTGTTTCTTTGACTCACTTCCCCCACAGTTTTAGAATTTGCAGTGACATATGGGTGAATCAGATATTTGTCATGCACATACCTTTTTAAAGAATAGATAAGGAGCTTTTATAACAAGATCTGAAGAGATGCTCACTTAGACCAACTAGTTATTTTTAAACAAGTTTATGTAATTTCTGTTATTGTTGCCGAGACTGGGGATGTTGTGTTGATTGCTCTTCTGTCAGTCAGTTTGCCTTGTTGTGTGACAAAAACAGTGTTGGGAGCTGCTTAGGTACAACAAATTCTTGTGTCACCAGTTACAATGGCCTTGGGATGCATTTCTTTAATGATTCATTGCAACTCATTTTCTAGCCTACTAACATTGCATATAGTTATTTTGGAATATAGGTTTTCCTTCTAATTTTTTTTATTGGTTCACTTTGTGCACTGTAGGTGATGCTGCTGCAATAGTAAGGGTAGTAAAATTTTTTAATAAATAATACTTTAAACCAAGGAGTTGAGCAAGATGAATTATCAAAAGAATTTGAAGTAACAAAAAGTTTGCAATTGCTCTATGAGTGCATAATACAGTAGGTGAATAAGAGGAAACTAAGTTTTAGATATTTTGAAGTAGAGAAACCTCACTGTTTATGTTGAGAACAATTGATCACATGACCAGAGTAGAAAATTTTCCTCAGTTGTAAAATTCTGAATATTTTAAGGCAAGGGAAATTGTTCAGTAAGAATCTGACTGTTGTGATTTGATGAATGAATATTTTTCCCGTTACAAGAGCTGATATTTATGTGTGTCCCCAAAGCTCTTTTGAAGAATTTGACATAAATACCTTCCTGGAGGCTTTTAGGACAAATTTCAGTGACACATCAGTCAGAGCTGAAATGATGGCTTCTGGATATCTGCAGTTACTCAACTGGTCTCCTGGACTCTCCAGAGAGTCTCTGCTCTCCTAGACAAAATGGTGGCTTACTGAGAGAAATTTTTACCAAGTTTACAAAGTTCTCTTTGAAAAATGGAAAAAATCTTAGGTAATTTTAGTTTCAAGTAGTGGTAATCTCATTCTTCCGTGTGAAAAATTTGAATAGCTCTTTCATAACAGTTATTATATTGTTTCAAAAGGAGCAGTCTCAGTGTTCAACCTATTTCCCAGTCTTCTGATAGAATAGACTCAATAGACTCTGTAGTATTATGTTGTCAGCTGGTTCTTTGTTGTTTTTTTTTTTTTGTCCTTATCAAAGAACCTTTCTCAAATTCATGGACATATTGTGCCAGTGGCTTCTTGGCAATACTAAAGATTTTTAATTGAGATTCCTTTTTCTGTATGGAATGCTATTACATCCCTTTGCAAGGCAAAGAAATTTATTGAAGTTGACTGTGAAATTGGATAATCTCAGATTGCATATCCTTAGACTATATTCAGCAGTGTTGGAGGAAAGCATAATACAAAGGACAGGCTTTGTAGCAAGAGAAGCAGATAGAGAAGATGAAAATGCACCGTGTAGGGAAGTGGGGGATAAGAATTTTGACTATACTTTGTCTTACACTTCTATGCACCTTCTGTTTACTGTAGATTCTGTCACCTAATTTGCCTCCTCTTATCTACTGTCTGTATTACTTAAGCCGCATTGCATTTGGATTTGGCATTTTATATTATTCTGTTTTACAACACTTCATTCACAGCCATAGCCCTTCAGTGATGGGTGAAATGATGTGTTGTGCATCTTGAAATGATTCCATCACTTCCCCTAAGCAGCTTCTTAGAGAGAGGAAAAAATATCTCTTGTTTGTGCTGGTGAAAACTAATTTGAATATTCCTATAATAAATGACTTTTTATTCCTGCTTAGTTAGTTGGTGACATGTCGCAAGTGACAAAAACATTTTATAAAAAGAGTGAGATACAAGATAATCAACTTAATCATATTTAGTAAGGGATGAAGGAGCTTCTTCTGGGAGGGAGCAGGAAGAAGAAGTGAAGATTGGTTTTATAGTATAAACTCATTATATTGCATATAGTTCTGCTTCTATTGATTAACACTGAATAAAATTGGGGTTGCATAGTTCAGAAAGCTGATTTGAAATCCATAGAAATATGAATATAGTACCAGTCAAGGCTTCTTATATGAGCAATGTGGTATTGCTCGCAACAGCAGTTTATTTGTGTGTGTGTATATATACATAATATATGTATATTTTGTGTGTGTATGTTTTTATAGTATCATAAGGACCATCAAACATATTTGCATGTGTTTCTGAATACTTCTAATTCTCAAATAAATTCCCATAAATAAAATGCCTGCCTTTGTGTTTCATCTGTTTCCAGCCTTCTGTGATCTGTTACATGCCCAGGGTTCCATCACACCTGGCAACAAATGTCCTTTCTAGTATCCCATCCTTATGTTTTAATTGATTGTTGATTTAGAGAGACTATATCATTTGTTTGCCATCAATACAGCATAATATAGAAAATCTAAATCAAACAGTTAATGAAAGTTTCTGATTACAGGATAACCTGTTTCACTGATATGTTTATGTGATCCTGGAAAACTAGTTTTCCTGGTACTCTGCTGTAAATGTATTATTAGTGTGTAAATCTTTTTCTTTTTTTTCCCCCCATTCGGGTGACACAACTTAGGTAAAGCTTATAACAGATAGTGTGTTTGTTTCCATTGAAAAAGGCTTTCATCTATTTTGAGAAATCAATAACATTTATTCTGTTCTTTTTATCAATAGAGAAAATGAGGTGCTAAAAGTGCAACTTAAGAAGTATGTAGGAGCTGTCCAGATGCTCAGACGAGAAGGTCAAACAGTGGAAGGTAAGGATAACATGAAGGGGGAAAAAAATCTGTGCACAGGGTTTGGTTTTGTGGATGCTGCCATTGTGAGACAGTATATTGGAGGCACAGGGATAGGAACTAAATGATGGAAGTGGCTCCTGGACTTGCAGAGAAATGACAGTGAAAGAGTTCCCCGTGCTTAGACCTGACTCTGATTTACAAGAAACTTTTTTTTTTCCCGATTGATCCTGGAATGAATCTTATTAGACAACCAACCACCCAGTCCTGTGCAAGGGCTGGTTTTTAACCAGCTCTTCAGCCACACAACACAGTCCTAGTGTGGCTGGGGACAGGGTTTGTGCTTCCACGTGCTGCCCAGTGTGACAGGAGCTCTCCCCCTGTGGGAAAATATCAGCATCTGAAAAGACAACAGTTCTGTTTCTGTGAGAACTGTCCCTGATTCATCTCGGACTGGCTATTTGCTGTTGTGCGAGGAGTTTTGTAATGCAGATTGATGGCAAACAAAGGAATGTTATGTGATGGAATACTATCAAATTACTGCTGAGCAGAAACAATGAAGAAGTCTCTGCTTTCCTTGCCGAGTCTTCACCAAAACAAATGAAATCATTTACATGAAACTGGGGGTAGCAAGAGATGATTATAAGTCCTGTTTATTTCTTTAAACTATCCTAGAGTAATATCTCTCAGTAGTGAAAATAACATATTTGATGTATTTTCCTTTTGAGGAAAATTACTGATGTAGATTTTTGTACTTATTTTTACAGAGCATTTTCTGGTAGATGAGGTGGCCTTACTTTTTTCAGTAAGAAACTTTCCAGAAAGAATTGTCAAATAAACAATAATCTGTGAATTACTGTGATCCTGGAACATAAAAATAAATATTTTGAGGAGAGAAAATTTAGTATCTCTAGGTTATTCTCTTGTTTTGGAGATCAGTATGTTTGGAATAGACTCTGTATGGAGTAGTAACGAGCAGGTTTTATATCTGAAAGATAATGAGTTAGCAGCAGGTTTACCTGTTTTTCTTGGGGTCTGTGATAGAAGTGTCCACGACCAGATGAATTGGAGTCTTGATTCTGAATCCTCTCCTGGTGGGACCTGTATTTCCACTGACTACAAGAAGGTGTTTTGAGGGACGAGATGACTTTTCAGAAATTGGCACCATCTGTCTGATGGTTTTCTAATTGTGAATATTGTGGTCCTGTCAGTAGCTGTATGAATGAATAGCACTGCTCTTAAGGGCCAGTCACTGTACTTATCTGGAGTTGAAAAACTTCATTCATCCTTAAAAGGATATTTGTTAGTGAGAACACATGTTTTTACTTCCGACTGTGCCGAGTGTAGTGATTCATATTAAGAATTATTCACGAAAACCATCGCTTAGGCTTCCTATAATAGCAGAAATTATCCTTCATTAAATAGTGACAGTTTCCATGATGAGTGTAATTATAGGAAAAGAAAAAAGTATTCCTAGGCTAGCTATATTCCACCATGTTAAAATTATGCAAATTAGTGAGTGGTAAGAATAGAAACTGAGTAGGATGGTCAGATTTTATAGATGAAAAAGGGGGATGGAACAGTACCAACATTTCTAAAAATGAACACATGCATGCTTTATGCTCCAAGGATATTTAATCAATCCACAGTAATTTTCTGTAATATTTATCATTAATGACCAGATTCAGCTACATGCACTATTTGTAATAATTTTTTTTACATTCTAACTCCACACATTGTATTTCTATAAAACTAGAATTATTTTCTTAGCTGCCATTGAAGATCTGGATGAAATTTTAGTAGTACTGGGGCCTCTGACTCAAAGTAAGTACTTAAGTATGTAAATAATCCTTGAGAACTAATTGCAAAAAAGAAGAGTGAGACACAAGAAGTTTTTTTGTTTTACCAGATTTGTAGAAACTATTGCACCCATGGTTTGTATACGTAATAAATAATTTTAATGATAATTAATCTTCTTCCAAATGATATCAAAACGAAAGTCTCAAATGCATTGTAGATTTTAGAACACTAGGTTTTTAGATTTTCTGTGAAACTATTTTGAAAGAGTCAAAATAAATTGAGCTTCTACTGCTGTTATTTTTATCACTATAAATAGTGAAGACTCTTCATGTTTGCTACAATAAGATAAAATGCTATTGAGTATGGCTTTTAAATAGTTTCCTAAAATAATAAATGAAACTCAGCATGATACTTTGCCTTGTGGTGACTTAAAAAAGCCAAAAAACCCCATTCAGCAAATGTGATTATAAATAAATTGCCCAAGAGTCAGAACTGAGTCGAGTTTGGAATATCATATCAGCTTTCAAAATGAGTGATCACTGCCGTGGACTGAGCAGTTTGATATTGGTATTTAAATATTTAATAAATCAGCATCTTGACTTCTCAGCCATCAGCAGGAGTTGGCTGTGGACCATTTTTCAAACCCGCTTAGATAGAATATTATTTATATAAAAATGCTGATCTTTAAAGTTTCTGGCTGAAGAACTTCAAGCAATATTTACAAGGAAAAGATCTTAAAATAGCTTTAGAATTCACTTAAATAATAATAAACTTCTGAATGCATATATTCTTCCTCAAAGCAAAAATCAGTTCTCAGGCTTCAGAGTATTCAGTCAGATGAATTACAGTGTCTTCTATCCTACCTTACAGTGGGTGTATATATAGTTTAGATTTTGAAAAATAATGAAAGCATTTATTAAACTTCTCTTTTATTAGGGCTTGTTTACTTTTATGTGCTAACTTTTATTTTCTTAGAAATTCATGAGCTACAAGGAAAAGTTGAATTGGACTTTGTGTAACTTGGAGGGGATTTACTTAGAATAGGCCTTCAAAGTGATCATCAATTACATAAATGATGGCTGGGAACAGGAATAGAAAAAACTGTAGTTTTCATTCACTGCAGATAAAAGAAGTAATAGGCTTACATGGCAGGTGAAGGAAGTTTGATTAGCTATCAAGACAACTTTTATGAGAAGAATACTTAAATTTAAATAGATTGTGCAGGGAAGCATGGTATCTTCATTATTGGAGGTTTCTAGGAATAAATTAGACAATTAACTGTCAGGAATGGAATAACTACAGCTGATTCTGCTTTGTGCAAAACCATGAAATACTGGAAGGAGTGTGGAATGTCCATTCTCAGCCCTGTTTTCTGTAATTTCTATGATGTGTAAGCAGTCTGTGCGAGTAATATGAAATGATATTTTGGAAGCCAAGTAGAAAAAAGTCTTAAAGAGAAGCACAGACTTAGTTTTAAAAGACTTTGGGCAGGATTTGCAGTTCCTACCTTCATATATTACTCAGTTCTAGTCAGAGAACAGCCAATTGCTTTTAGTTTACATTTTTTTTTTCTAATAGGAGTACCACTCTAACTATTGCTCACAAACAAAACTCCCTGCAGAATTTGTATTTTAGTCCTTCTAATACTGTATAATATTACATTCTGTTTTGATACTTTTAATAACTGTTTCTTGGAGAACTATTACTTCTACACAGGATGTCTTAGATGTTTGTGGAATTTAACATTTTAATTTGAGGTATCTCTTTGTTTTAGTTCTGCCAAACATTTGGAGCGCTGATGGTGAATTTACAATTCCAGAGCAAAAACAAGTAGAGAACAACGAGGAACTCGCCAGCTCTTATGAAAGAAAATTGATTGAGGTAAAGTTTGTACTGCGCAAATTTAATGGAATCATAATTACATTATGACATTTGAAGCTTAAATGGTTTCTTTGCTTAGCTGTTATTTTTCTCCTCAGTAATGTAAAAGGTAAGTCTGACTTTTTTTCTTCAAAAATAAAAGGAATGAAAAATTTAATTTTCTTGGTTTCGCGGGTAAATTTTCTTCATTCAACTTCAAGGCTTATTTAAAGCAATCCAGATAATTAAAAGTACTTCTCCTAACAGAGGTACCTTTTTATGCTTTGGTATTAGAATGAAGGTTTTAATAAATAAACAAGTTCCTTGAGGTTTTAACTGATGGTGGTGAAGTTGAAAACATCACAGACAGCAGGTTCCAGGTTTTGTGTAAGTTACGGTACATAATTACAGGCATTGCTGTGTTGGCACTTGAGCTTTATTTAAAATGAGAACATAGTGAAGTCTGTAGCTTTTTCTGTGCTTTCCTTCTGGTTTCTGATTGCCAAACCCTGTTTCATTTTTGTGTTGCTTATTGAATACTGCCTTACAGGAATGTATGATGGAAGCTACTAATTCTGTTGATATGGCCAGGTTAGAAAAAGTTCTTAATGCAAGATTTACTTTTAAGACTAATGTAAAAGTCATTAAAGAAGAAAAGAGATAGATTAGGGTTTCATCCTAAATTTAAATACAAATTATTTTCAAGACAAAAGTAATGAAATTTAATATCTAATACTCATATCTCCTATTAAATATTAAAAGAACATTTTTATAAAAAGTAAAAAAATTCTCTGTCTTTCTCTTGCCCAAAATACTCTGAAATTGGATACCCACATTAACTGATTAACATGAAGAGGACTAGAAATGCAGGTCATGCATCAAGGAGATTAATACAGTTCTAAAACATTCATACTTGGTTATCCTTTTCTCTCCCTAATGCATACTTTTGCTGGAGTTCTTCTGACTCCTTTCCTCTGTTCTGTACCTATCAAAAGAATATCTTAATTAAGAACACAGGTAAAATCTCTTTCAGCTCTGAAAGCCTCCTTAGTTCTACCAAGTTTGTTCTGCATGTTCAGGGATTTGGTGCTGACACTTGTGAGTTTGTGGCAGACAAACCCCTGTAACAATCCTTCTTTAGAGGCCTTAGCATGGCACACAGCCTTGTAATTAAATATTAGTTGTCTTGGAAGTCAGTGTAGAAAACAGGTCTTAAATTACTCAACTGGTCAGCACTTTTCTGTGGAATCACAAGTCCTTCTGTAGCTTTCATGAAGTGAGACTATTACTGAAATACAATGAGATGGAATTTCCTCTGTCCAGGGAAGTTTGGCACAAGTATGGACTTTTTCTGCAAAAGTTTTGAAACAGGAAGCAATAATTGAGCATTTTATGACTGTATCAGTAGATTTGTAGAATTGTCTTTGCCACTTAGAGTCTTACTCTTTTTCACTTGTAGAAAAATGGAATTATTCATTAGTAGTAGGATACCTGCTCCTTTTTTTGAAGATCTTTGAGTTTGTTTCTGTTGGTGAAAAATGTAGAACATCATCGATTTTTGAAAATGAAATCTTCTCATGGGAAAAATACATCCATGCTTCCACTAAGAGCAAAAGGAAGCAACTTCCAGTTCTGTCTAGAGTTTCCTGGGAGATACAATGTTTTGTATTTTGTGACTCCTGGCGGAAAAAATGCCTATATGCTTGACAAAAAGTGACTGATTCAGATGTAGGTTGCGCAAAACTTCGATGAATTTTAGCTGCAAATAATACTAAAAAGAAATCTTGGATTGTTGCAAGTTCTTAAATGTTTCTCTGCTCTAAGTGTGTCCTTCCAAGATAGATTGTGTTATTCAAATGCTTAGTGAAACATTCCTAGCATGTTTTAAGTTAGCAGCTTAGTCCTTTGCTGTGAAACAAGAAGTGGTATAAGCATGTTTTCTGATATGGCCACCACCAAGTCTGAATGATCATCAGTCCAAGGGAAACTTAGGTTGTTTGTACTTTGATTTTTTTTTGCTTCAAATATGTTGTTGTGGAGAAAAGCAACTGTGAAGATGATTAAAGTCGCAGTAGGGAAATTTGTTGCTTAAGCTTCAGTGTGGATTGAATAAAGGAAGATGTGATGACATAAGATATAACTGAAAGAATATAATTATATGGAGACCTCTTTATTATTTTTAGCAGGCTTTGATATTAAAGAAAGCTAAATTAGTGTTGTAATTCAGAAGTATACCTGATCACTCCTTTGGGTTTGCTGTGGTGGTAATGCATTTTGCTTTGACAAGAAGGACTGAAGTAACTTAATTACTGATAAGTGGTACCTGGCAATTTGTCCTTTTGATAAGATGTAACAAGTGATTTGCTGTTAAATTTCCTTTTTATTATTTAACTTTGCTAGGGACGCTTATAAATTTTTGTATTACTTCTCGTGCTTTGAGAGAATTGTTGAATTTACATATTAATCGAGTCTGCAAGTAGAAAGTTATTTCAAGGTCATCCAAATTAGACCGAGAGAGAAGAGTCACATATAATATCAGATAGTCTGAATTTTGTTCTTCTGGTAGAGACAGGCACTGAAAAATCAAACATGATTTCAGATATGCAAACTACTAAGTTTTATATCCATTCACAAATTTGTATATTGATTTTGAGAACCAGTCAACCAGCTATCAGTATTATGGTTTTTCTCTGGGCATTTCCAACTAGTATTCTATATTCCATTCTATATATTCTCTACCTTTTTGTATGTAAAATGCAAGGAAGTTCTGCCTCCCAACCCAGTCTCTGTGTAATTAAAAGTGACCTGTTAGTATTAACCAGAATCAGAGACTTATGATATCCTTCAATGTTACACCACTCACTTTAAATTGGAATTAGTGGTTAAATGAGTATAGTTTGGCTCCTTTTTGCATGTGTGTTACACTGATGAATTACTGGATTTGAAGGACTCCCTCTAATGTAAAAAGAAATTGGAAAAGAATACTTGAAGTTTACCTTAGGAAAATTATTTTTATTTTTAATCAATGATGTCAGATCCTGCCTTGTCAAATTGAAGCTGCTTTTTTCTGGTTGCTTTGATTGCGTGAACGATACAGGTTGTGTGGAATAAAGCACAAAATTAAAAGTGAGCACTAAATTAAACCGAATTCAACTGCTTTATTTTGGGGAACTTCCCTGGGGAAGAGGGAAAAGGCAGAGTAATTGAAGAAAAGGAGACCATGAAATTCATAGATAGTAATGAACTGCCTCCAGAAAGGAAACTATGAACTCTTAAGAGAGTTGGCAGTCATCCAAGTCCCTGTGATAATATTGAAGGTGCTGGATTGATATTCATCTTATTCAGCTTTGTTACCCCGTTGTCTCTGCTGTTCTCTGAGCTTTGGATGCTGATATGAGGAGGCATTTGAAGAGTTGCTGTAACTGCACACAGGTATAACAACAGTGGTGGCAGCTGCTGTGCCCACTGCAGGGGCCAACCACTGAGTGCTGCTGTTTTCTTCTAACTACTGTTCACTTCACATCCTTGATGCTCAATCCAGCCCTTGTCACATCCTGCATCACTTGATGCTTTCCTAACTCCGAAATGGAGAGCACACACACAGCCAGACTTGGTGTCCGGAGAGGCCCCACGAGAGGCTGTGCTGTTTACCTGTGCACAAAAACCTGTGCCCCAGACTAACTTCTATTTAGGCTCCTTTGACCCCTCACAAATTTGCCTGGGATGAGTGGACTTCTAGCTCCAGTGCTGTTAAAACTCCAAGTAAGAGTGCAGAATACATCACTCGTGAATTATTGACAAAGTTAATGCAGTTTGTGCATTTGCATTACTCCCAGTTCAGAATACTGTGATTAGTTTGTACCTGTTAAGGGCTGTGTTCATCGAAGAATTAAACTGAGAACAAAAGTTAATGTGTTTTATTAGAATCAGTTGTCATAGGATCTCCCGTGATAGGAATAAAATTTGGCTTAGAATTGTATTTGGTCCTATTGAGTTCAATATCAGAATTACATTGCAAGGCACGAGTCAAAATTATAACAATCTCTGTTCTTAATGGTCAAACTAATGCATTAGCAATGAGATGCACTCCTTGGAAGAGTATGGCAAAATAAAACCTCAATAAAATTTGATATACATGTAAGAAATTACAGAGTGTGATTATTTTATTTTATTTTATTCAGTTTAGAACACAATTACCTCTTGGCTTTGCTTTTCAGGTGGCTGAAATGCATGGGGAGCTGATTGAATTCAATGAGAGGCTGCACCGTGCCCTGATGGCTAAGGAAGCTCTCGTGTCCCAGATGAGACAAGAACTGATTGATTTGAGAGGCCCAGTGAGTGTTTGTTTATGGCACTGCAGAACCTACCACTCTGGAATAAGCTCAAACTCCTGATGAGATATATAACAGCTTATAAGAAATAGCAGATCTGACAACAACATCTTACTTGATATTTTTGATAGCATTTGATTCTTGTTTCTTTACAAAACTATAAGCAAATTCTAACATGAAGGACTCACAAGGGGTGGTGTGTTCACAATCGTTCTGAAAGATTTTGTTTTTCTTTTATTGTGTCTCAGTAATAATTTTTATTGGCATTTATAAAATTGACTGTTGAATTGTAATTTCTTTATAATATTGTGCTTTCTTAATTGAAAACATAATAACTAGTGTGTGGGAATTATTTCTGTTTTGTAAACACAGGTCCCTGGAGATTTGAGTCAAACATCCGAAGATCAGAGTTTGTCAGATTTTGAAATGTAAGTTTTGTAATTCACGAATTTTTCTCTTCCTCTTTGTCTTTATGGCAAAGAGGAATAAGCAAGCAGATTCAATAATTTGCTTTTCCTATGTTATTTCCAATAACTGATTTCTTAGCTGTGGTGTTCTATTATTAAAGTATGGAGAGCTGCACATTCCATGCCCTAGTGTAGTTTTTAATAATGTTGAATGCCAGGAGTTTGGATTTAGCTGAGTTTTGTGGACCAAAATGTTGAGTTTGATGAAATGAATAATTTTTGTTTCATGCATATAATCAAATGTAGTCAAATCCATGCTGTGAAAAAAGAAACAAAACCCAGAAAACCTGCAGAAGGAGTTGTTTTGGTGCTCTATATCAGTGCTCTATTTCAGTTGGGTTAATTTTAGGGAACACTTTTAACTACAGCACATGTAAATAGTTCAGGCAAAACTCCACTTTTTCTGATAATTCATTTGAAATGTTAAGTTGCTTTGTTGATCACTTTGATCATTATCTAAACCATTGGATGTAGTTGCTTTGCAATTCATACACATAAACATAATTCCCTGTTTTAAGTTTTTCTCTCTCCTCCTCAGATCCAATCGTGCTCTTATTAATGTTTGGATTCCCTCAGTCTTTCTACGTGGAAAAGCTGCTAATGCATTCCATGTTTATCAGGTAAGTGATAAGATATATTTCAACACAGATTTTGTGTAAAAGCTTCTGACTGAAATAGAACATTTTAATAATTTAAAGATCTCCATATAATTTCATTAGAGATCAGCTAATGAACAGGCAGCAGTAACTTCATATATATTCAACCACAGGATTGTGTTGATTATCCAAATAGCATATTTTGAGGGTTGACTTTTAGTAGTTTAATACTTTAAAAGCATGCTAATAAGATGACTACCTTGGTCAGGGAGTGCAACAATTCAACATTGATCAGTAATGCCTTCTTCAATGTGCATGTACATGTTTTATTTCAATTTTGGAGGTAGCAATGACCAGAAATATTGATTGACAGACAGACAGGTGTGAGTTACTGTAGTAGCTCATTTAAAAACATTTGGAATGATGAAACAAGTCTTCACTGTGTGTCATTGAATGTGTTCATAGTGTGCTCTGCTCAGGCAGGTCTGAATTTAGGGCTTTGTGCTCTAGCCTGACTTGCAGTTGAGGCTGTGAAACCTTGTACTGTTCCTTGATTCCTGGATTCTTGACACTCTCCATGGATAGAATGGCAGGGCAAACTTTAAACACTCTTTAATATGCTGTCCCAGGCTGTTTGTATTTCTTTATTTGGGGATTATTAGCAGCTGCAAAATTTCTCCACTTTTGTTTCAGCCACATGTAGTTGGTTCTGAACAAGACTGCTGAAGCTTGTTAACATTCCTCTCACTCTGAATGGTGGTTTTTGTAGAATTTTGAATCATTTATGAGGTGTTGGCAGCTAGTTGTAAAATACAGGAAAACACCCACCTTTTGGCCAGTAATAGAGAATGAAAAATAAGACTTTAGGTAATGGAAAGAAAAGCTGACAGTATGGAACAGTTAGTCATTTGTTCAAAACCACTGAATAATCAATCAAATTCAGATGCACAAGTGAGTGTGGAAACCTGACTTGCTGACAAGAGTGATTATTTTTGTCTTTCTGGCTTTCACATGTTCCTCCATTCTGCTGTCACTGGCTACACATTCTCAAACCCAGACATCAGTCTGCTAACACAGAAATGATTAAAAGCCTCAGGATCTCACCCCACCAAATCTCTGCTACTCTTATAATGTAGCAGTTCCATGACCACTAGAAGAGCTCTGGTTTCTCCTACTTATTACCCAGGTTGCTCTGTTTTATTCTTTTCATCCTGCTGGAGCAGGGAGGTTGGGCCAGATGACCCACTGTGGTCCCTTCCAACCTGACCCATTCTGTGAATTCTTTGAAGAACTTACTGTATTTTTAATTTCACTTGTAAGTTGGTATCGAATTAGTTACTAAAGAGCTCAGTACTTGTTGTGCAGTTTGACTGAACATGACCATACGAGTGGCATCATGAAAGCCTGGAAATTATGCACAATTCACATATACTACAGATGTTGTGCACGTTCTTTTTCAAAAGGAAAAGTACTGAGATAAACTAAGCTTCTCAATTTGTAAGAGGTTCATTTCTTTACCCAAAATCTGCTGGAGTGAGTAGAGGATTAGATGTTGCTCTCAGACTTCATCCGTTACTTGTCATCAATGGAAAACAAAGAACTTGTAATTGAAGGATATTCCTCTGGAGAATAGGAAAAAAGGAAGCAAAATATTGTAAGTTTCTAAAAGATTGGAAATTCTGGATCTGCAAAAAGACAATTTTGAGAATTCTGTTAGGTTCTTTATGTCTACAGTATAAACTCATAATGTTGGACATTCATAGGGTGCAAAATGGGTTATTTATGAAAAATGTACAAGTTCTTTTGAATATGCTCTATCCATTACCTATTCACAGTAGCAATTTACAGATACATGTAATGTGAAAAGTTAAATATTGCTATATAGAATAGACATAGAATGTAGTAAGACTAATTTGTCTTTAATTACAGAATAGCACAGAATATTGTAGAATTCTTCTGGTGAACACTTGTCCACTTGCTCAACTTTGTCTTTTAATTGTTCAAAACAAGCAAACAAGACTTATCTGTAGAAGTGACTTAAAGCTTCCATAATTCTTATTAAACTTTGATCATTGTACCTGTTGTGATCTTTCCTTATGGAAGAATAGATTAATGGCATTCCTACCACTTTTTGATCTCAGTAACAAATGCGTGACTGGGAAGAGTATCTGTCTGGCAAATAGCTTTGTTTTCTGCCACTGTGCATGTGAAAAAAGGAAATTTTCCTAAATAAACATACACTCTGAGCATAGTATGTGATGAAACATCTGAAGTGATTACCACCTCTCTGATCAATTATTTAGTCACGTACTTGCTGAATATATATTTTACATTTTATAGCGACCAGGAAAGCATTAATTTATAAAACTTCAATAACAGCTCTGTGCATTTATCTTGTTAAATCTGTGCCAAAACATGTGCTCCTGATTACAGAGAATTTGATTCAATGTTGAAATTGTGGAAGAGGGTGTTTACCAGGCTACCAGTATGTACTGAACAGACAAGGACTGGGGGTGCAATTAGGATAAATGATTGAGCTCATTTATGAGAGTCCTCTCATTCATAATAAACATTATTTTTACTGCTTTATCATTTATTTCTCCAGCAGCAGAAAATTAAGAGGCACATAAAACTTTTTGTATCAGAGAAATTACTTGTGGTATATCAATGTAAAGGAAAGTAGCAATACTGCAGAATGTTGATATTAGTGAGATCATTACCAACATCTTTTCAAGTTGAGATTTCTCTGCCAGTAGTTGAGTGACCACAACTTGAGGTGCAAAAACTGACTCTTGGTTGTGCTGGTTAATTCTGAGAAAAAGATGTCAAATGAACTTTGAAGAAAGCCAAAGTGTGCCAGTTGGAAGAGGCAAAGTTTGAAATTTTGGGTTTGGTTAAGCATAATTTTTAGATATGCTGAGTACTGACAATTGTAGTTAAAGCTAATTGGAAATTAGCCTTAAGGTGCTCAACCTGACTGCAAATTAGGTCATGTGTGTAATACTATTAAGGGAAGATGTGGTTACCAAATGAAGGTGTTACAGAAGGGCACGGACCTCGCCCACTGCTTTTCCAAATGCACTTCATGTAAATGTATTTCTAACATGGCTTGATTTCTTCTGCATTTTCTATTATTGGAAAGCTAAAGAGATTGACCCCCTCTGCCCTCCTGTTTCAAGGCACCTTGTTAACCTTTGCTGATTTGAAATTGTGTGTCTCTGGAGCATTTCACTTGCTGCAGAGCAGGACAGTGAGCCAGGGGAGACTCGCTGTGTCACAATTAGTGTTGATGCACTTTAGAATCCTTGTGCCTCTTTTATCCCTTTTTGATTATAAATTAATATTTTCTAGCAGAAAATAAACTATTGTGTACATATCACTTGCCTTGGAAATGACCAAAAGAGGGTGGAAAGAATTGCAGAGCACCTCAAGTAGTTTGAAAAATGATGAACTTACCAGTTCCACAGTATCTGTCATCTGTTTCCATGGACTTATCAATGCTTCTTAAGAATATAAGAATTAGGAGAAATAAACCCAGGTTGCTGTGCCTCTGTGAAATCAATGCCAATTTTGCACTTGTGCTTCTTAAACAGGAAAAGAAATTAATGACATGTTAATTTGCCTATCAGGAGGGGCCTGACCTGGACAGGATAAGAACAGACTCCTGCAGGAATTCTGTTATGGTGTTTGCTTTATTTTTTTTAATTTATTGCAGATTTGCAACGCTGCTTTGAAGGGCATTTCAAAGCATTTCTTTTTGAGTCGCATTAACGTTTTGGTCTGTTTCAGATGTTATGTTCAAAATCAGTACATCTTTCATCCTTAAAAACACCCAGGTGTTGTTCTTGGGTGAATACAGATGGAAAAGTTTCCAGCTCCAGCCCTCTTGTCACAGAGTTTCAACCATCAAATAGTTCCTTAAATTTCTATTAAGGATTAAAGATTCTGGTCAAGCTCAGAACTCTGAAAGCAAGCAACATTTTATAATGAATCCTATTAGATGTGGAAATTTCAATCAGACCTCTGTATTTGTAGAGTTACATTGCACTCTTGCAGTAATGTTTAACTGGCAGAATTAACTGGTTATGAATACTAAGGGCTTAAAAACAAGGTCTAGAAGCAGCCAAATTTTATGCTCAATTTGAATGACTGAGTTAAAGGGGACAGTTGTGAGCAGCAGATAATTCAGTGCTCACAGAGTAGTGTCTTAAAAATTAGCAGAGCCATAAACCTATACCATTCAACTGTGGATCTTACAGCAATTAGAAGTTGTATAAATTTTAGGGAAAAAGCTGTTTAGAATTGGATCTGCACTTCAGTGCAGTTACTAAGTTCAGTTAAAAATATTAAATATTAAAAATATTTTTCACTTGTTTTCTCAGAATATAAAGTAATAACGGAAAAATGCACATTTTAAAATCTAAGTGGATGCTAATAATGACTAATTTAGTCCTAGAATGGAAATATTAAGTGTGATGATGAAATATCTTTCCTTCCACTAATGTTTATCTCCTATGCATGGCAAGCTCATTGTAAATGTTTTCAGAGCACATCCTCTCTCTTTATACTTGCTCAGATTTGTTTTGCCTGAGGTTTAGACTGTGACTGCTGTCATGTCATTCATTAGTGCTGATGGATCACTTGTACAATTAATGTTGCACCTGAGTAGAGAAATTAATTAGATGACCGGTTGATGTCCTTATTACGAATCAACAAATCATAAGGATTATTTAGACTTCACTGGATGAAATTATCTAGGCTGTGACAGGAGCTCAGACTGGATTGTTATAACTGGATCTTCTAGCAAGGACATCAGAGCAACTGTAGTTATCCAAAAGAAGGTTCAGAGGCTTATTCTCTTGCAAAGTTTGTGATGGTTACTACTGAGTGGCAAACTGATTAGTTATAAGCATTGAAGGACCTAACCACATGTGGAGTAACTAATATATTTTGTACAAAGTAACAGTTAAGAAAGCCTTTAAACACACAATTTAAATAATAGGGAACTTTGTAAAACCCGGGTC